CTAGAAGAATGGAAACACAAGGAGAAGACAAACAAGGTAACAGTTTTATTGTATCATCTATGTTATCCTAGCTAGTGCCAGTTATTCTGGGAGGAAAGTTATTACTACTTAGATTGAATTAGATGATGAGGTTATCTGGTGTAGGGCTGTTTTCGTGATACGGAACGAGACAGGGGAGAGGAAGTTGACTGTATTAGAGGGCTGACTGTATTTTTTTCGAAATAGTTTAACCATTTTTGTTAATCGCTAAAAGAAGGTCATTCAGAACTCGTTGGCTCCAGAATGGGGCAGCTCCAGAGGTGCTAAAGATGGTTAATTTGTGATAGGAAGAAAACCAATACATGTCCATTATGAAGTCGAATTCAATCATTTCTAGCTCAATAAGATGAGAACTAGTATCTCGCCCCTGAATTGTGGCTATACAACAACAATAACATACTAGTATAGTCCCACAAGTGAGGTCTGGGGATAGTGAAGTGTACGTAGACCTTACCCCTATGTTTGTGGGATAGAGAGACTGTTTCTGATAGATATTGTGGCTATACAACATAGAACTAGATTAGCTAATTCAATTAAACTTAAAGATCCATGTGATGATGGAGCAGTTTATATTGTTATTCTTTCCTCTTTTAACATTTCCAATTTCCATTTTGACAGGTAATATTTCAATAGAGAATGTGGTAAAGAGAAGTTATTGGTCCAAGAGTACAGAAGATCCAGAAAAAACATTGGACTTAATTTTCTTTGAAAAGGATATGTCAGTCTTTGACATGGATGACTTGTTAAGAGCATCAGCTGAAGTTTTAGGAAAAGGAAAGCTAAGCACAACATATAAAGCAATCCTGGAATCTGGTTCTGTTGTTGCTGTTAAGAGACTCAAAGAAATGAATTCTTTGAGCAAAAAGGAATTCACACAACAGGTGCAGTTGCTTGGGAAATTGAAACATGAAAACCTTGTGGAGATGTTGTCCTTCTACTATTCCAAGGAGGAGAAGCTCATTGTTTATGAATATGTTCCACAAGGAGACTTGTTTGGGCTCTTACATGGTTGGTTCATCAACTTTCTTTTACTTTTGGGAAAATGTCTAAAGTTAACCCCTCCTGAACGAAATACCTTAATTTTATCTTTCGTTATACTTTGAGGTTATTCATATCCTTATCCTTAGTAAAACGTCTCGTGTTATACTTCGAGGTCATTCATATTCATTTTGATTCTAAACTATGAACTCATGATCAAATGACTTTTGAGGTGGGCTTTCCCTTCTCTATAGTGCTACTGTGAAAATTGAAATTGCTTAGAGGTAGGTGTAAGGATTGCGGACACTCAACCCCTTGTGGGATTATACTGAACATGTTGTTGTCGTCTTATAGTAGTAATAGAGGAATATCTTTTACCATTTTCCCATCTTTTTTCCCCTTAAGATTCAACCTTGTAAAAACTTATGATTCTTGATTTCAGAAAACAGAGGAATTGGGAGACAACCACTAAACTGGACAGCAAGAATATCCATCATAAAAGATGTAGCAAAGGGTCTAAATTTCTTGCACCAGTCCTTACAATCACATAAGGTGCCACATGGGAACATCAGATCAAAAAATGTTCTAATCCAGCAAGACCAAAGCAAGAACTACCATTCTAAGCTGACAGATTATGGATTCTTTCCTTTGCTACCATCTAAAGAATCCTTAAGAAAAATAGCAGTAGGAAAATCTCCAGAGTTCTCTCAAGGGAAAAAGTTAACAAGAAAAGCTGATATCTACTGCTTTGGTATTCTTCTGTTGGAAGTTATCACTGGAAAAGTACCAGGTGAATTGTTTTCACCAGAAAATGGAGTTACTAGTTATGTTGATGATGATTTGTCAGAGTGGGTAAGGACAGTGGTGAATAATGATTGGTCAACAGACATTTTGGATATGGAAATACTTGCACAAAAAGAAGGGTATGATGAAATGTTGATGCTTACTGAATTGGCTTTGCAGTGTACAGATGAGGCACCAGAAAAAAGACCTAAGATGAGTGAAGTGCTGAGAAGAATTGAAGAGATTGAGCTTGAACCAAAGAATTTAGTCACTGATGTGGAAGATGATTCAGTCTCTTACTTGAAAACTTGAACTTTCCCTCCTAAACTGTAATCAAGCCGTAGCAGCAACAACAATATATCCAGTATAATTTCATCAGGTAGAGCCTGAACAATATATTCAGTATAATCTCATCTACTGGAGTCGGAGTCTGAAGAGAATTTCAAGTTGAGTCTGAACAATACATCCAATATAATCCCATCAAATGGAGATTACCGTAACCCAATCCTAACATGGGAGTAAAGAAAGGGTAAAATATGCACATACTTTACTCTGATTCCAACCGGTGGGATCTTTGAGAAAATAGAGTATGCGCATACCTTACCATTAGGGGTAGAGAGGTTGTTTCCTAAATTGTAATCAAGAAATTAGATTAGAAATTTAGGAACAGGCTTTTAGCAGAGTAAACTTTGTTTTATGATATTACTCATTCTTCAAGTTAATTCTTTGTAGATATTGATTTTGTTTTTTCCATTATTCATCTTTTACTTGATGAAAACACCCTTTTGAAGGAATAGCATATAGTACAGTTCTTTTTTTCATCTCTTTTGAGTCATTAATTTGATTAAATTCCATACAAAAAACTGGGAGGTGTGATTGTCCCAAGTTCGATTAAAGGTGTAGTTAGGTCACAACAACGTATAATTAATCAACTCATAATGATCCCTCGATGTGAGTATTCCTAAGTATTGGATTCAGATAAACTTAAATGAACTGATATAACCAGTAAATATTCAATAGCCAACTTTAACTTATCACTACATCCTGAAAATAATACTATACTAATATAATCTTCTGATCACAAAAAAGAAAAGAAAAGTGTAATCAACTTAAAGAGTAAACTCAAGATCATTTATAAAATTAAAAAAACTTGGAATGTGTTCCCCATTAATACATTGTACTAGTAGCCAAGAAACTCCTGAAGTGGGACCAATTGATTTTGGCTGCAAGCAAAATGGATGACGATTAGAATAAAGCCCAAACTTCTTTTCTTGCAATTTGTGGATGAAGATGAGATTTTGAGGAAATAAAATAGAAAAAACTGGAACATGGTCTTCATTTAATCCTAGTATGGATGGACTTTGAACTAAGTGTTAGGTGTAAGAAGAAAACGGTGTTTAATTGGATTTGAAATAGACACCTATGTAGTACGTGTCAATTTTCATGCAAACTTTCACCCAAGTGTCACACTTAATTCCGAACTTCATTTTTCTATAACACTATCTCCTTCTTGCTTAAGCTTGATCATCTTTATCTTCTTTCATTTCTTGTGTCACTTCATAAGTTTTATCAGATTAAGAATCTTGATTTACAGATTTGATCTGTAGTACTAATAAAAGTTTCTCAACATTGACAGCAAGTTGATTATAATTATGGCTATGCCAGCAAGAAGATATGCTTTTGGTAGGGCGGATGAAGCTACTCATCCTGATTCCATGAGAGCCACCTTGTCTGAGCTCTTATCCACCTTCATCTTCGTTTTCGCCGGTGAAGGCTCTGTTCTTGCAATTGGTAAGATATAAAAGTGAAGTTTGTTCTGTTCTAACTAAAGTTGTCAACATGCATAACATGATGCATGTTGACAACTTTTCTTTCTCTTTTGTATCATTACTATATCCGTGTGCTTGTTATCTCTCACTAGCACTGCTACCTGGTTACTCTGTCCACCAAGGTTTTGTTCGAATTTGAATGATGGTTTCTAGTGATTTTTACTCACCACAAAGTTACAATCGTTTTGACTATCACAGATGTTTTACTATGGATTTTTTGTTGTGCAGACAAGTTATATCTAGATACGGGGTTAGGGTCATCAAGACTGATAGTGATAGCGCTGGCGCATGCGTTTTCCTTCTTTGCAGCTGTAGCTTCTAGCCTGAATGTTTCTGGAGGACATATCAACCCAGCTGTTACCTTTGGTTCACTTGTGGGAGGCAGGATTTCTGTTGTTCGTGCTATCTATTATTGGGTTGCTCAGCTTTTTGGTTCTGTTTTAGCTTCTCTTTTGTTGAGGCTTGCTACAGATGGCTTGGTAATAACGAAAACAATCTTGTTTTTCTGTTTGTTGTTTTGAGATTGAGGTGTAATTGTGTTGGTGCAGCGGCCACGGGGATTCTCGGTTGCAGCAGGGGTGGGCAACTTGAATGCACTTGTGATGGAGATAGTGATGACATTTGGACTAATGTATACAGTATATGCAACTGCTGTTGATCCAAGGAGGGGAAGCTTGAGCACCATTGCCCCTCTTGCCATTGCATTCATTCTGGGGGCAAACACCCTGGTGGGAGGGCCTTTTGAGGGGGCATCCATGAACCCAGCAAGGGCATTTGGACCTGCTTTAGTGGGTTGGAGGTGGAGGAACCATTGGATCTACTGGTTGGGCCCTTTCGTTGGTGCAGCTCTGGCTGGACTTATATACGAGTATGGGATCATACAGCATGAAACCGTTCCACGCCCCACTACCCACCAGCCCTTGGCACCAGAAGATTACTAGCCCTTTCATTTGTGAATAAAAAAGGATCGTGTTTAAAAACTAATGTGATGTTTGTAGTCCAGTTTATGGTTGCTTTTTAATTCCATTTTCTGCGTTTAATACTTCTGTATGTAGCTGCACATTTCCTAAGTTACCCGAAATCAAGACGATGATCCCAGATCAGTAATAGCATGAATAAAGTCTACTTTTATCTGTCTTATTTTTTATTTATTGGAGTCTGATTACGTTACCATTCTATGTTTGCGTTTACTTGCATATATAGAGGAAAGAAACTCATGGCAGGATACATTTTTCAGCCATTTCCTACAAAAGTTCTGTACGAGTGACAATGGGAGAACTGAATGAATGTCATGACTAATTAAATCAAATTACAAAATGGTAATAGTACAAAAGAATGGGGTAGGCCTTGGAACAATTTTTTTGTTCTTTAGAGATTGCTAAAGTTTACGATAGAATCTGGCAACCCATGGGGCAAGTTCAGTTACATCAGGGGTTCTAGGATTAGAGGCATAATAATCAGACCAGTAACAGGGAGACATATTCTCTGTGAGTTCACCTTTAGAGTAAATGCAAAATGGCAGCCAATCTTCTCCTCCGTTCATTCTTCTTTTCCTCTCTCTTGGATATGCTAATGGCGCCTGCACATACCTGCATCAGATAAATAAACCTTTTAACGTTTTGAATTGGGTGTCATAGGCCCTAACGTAACAAGTTCAACTCCTAAAGTTGTGATTTCCCTCCCTCTCTCTCTTCACCTGTCCATTACTGAAGTTACTTGATCTTTGACAAAACCCGATATAAGTTATTCATAAATTTTATAACCAATATACTTTTAGTAAATTCAACCTTGAAATGCCAAGCAATAGGAGTTTCAGCTTTCTCTCATCAAAACTATTTCAAGGCAGAAAACACATCTTAGCTTATTTGATATATCGATTACATTTATGTCTTCTCGTCATCATATTCTAAGATCAAAAAACAAAAAGAACCATACACACTAAATTTTGCTTCAATTGAAAATTGGTTACAAGTAGTAGGCGTTTATGTGAATGAACAGTCTAATGCATTTAAGAACAGAACACACCTGATACCATCAAGCAGGACATCCCAGCAGAAATGGGTGTGACCAAAAATATGACAAGCATTTGTGTTCCCTCTAGCTCCGTGTATGTATCTTATACGGGCCTCAAGAAAGTCAGAACCAATCATTTTTGGAAGGTTAGGATAGAAAAGCATTCTCTTCTCTGGACAAAGCTCTAGTCTGCAAAAAAAGATGACAAATAACAGTTCCAGACAGGGTAAAACAACGTCATCATCAGCATAAGATGTTTAAGGACTCCAATCATCAACATAATCTTTCTGAACCTTGGTTATTTAGTAAGCCTGTAGTGCCAGTGAGGTGGAATGCCCACTACCGTGATGAACCATAAGTTTTTAAGTATGCATTGTGCCCTGCCCCTACCATACCCCCCACCGCCCCCACCCCAAGGCAGCCCAAAGAAAAGGTAAAATAAGTTCCTCTATCTTGATGCATGTATTGATGAAAGTAGCAATAGAGACGCTTAGCTTTTCAACACAGAGCAATCTCTGACTTGGGAAATGTGTCCCCTTCTCTCTTTGCTACACTATGCTCTTTCCAGCGAGTCCCCTCTATGGTGATACTTTATTTTATTATGGGTGACAATATTTCGTTTCAGGGGGGAAATCTTTCGAATAAATTAATATAAAGAGAATTCCTATAGATGGTTTGTGTTCATTGAGCGGGGCAGAAGATTCTCCAGCCAATTAAAGATGGACGAAAAACTTGTTGGTATGTGATGTTTTACAAAACGTTTCAAGGGGATATGGCAAACTCTATGGGGGATGGGAAGGAAATTATAGTCATATTTCTACAGAGTCTAGAAGAACTACATCACTTATGGCAGGTACATCAGAGTGGGAACATGGTTCTGTGACAGGAAAAAAGCCAACCACTGAGATATCAAACATTTTATGTTTATCTCTGAAATGTCAAATTAGGTAATCTATAATGGAGAAAAGGGGCAAATTTTCAGGACTATCTAACAAACATCAACCTCATTAAATCCTACTAGAAGTCTCTATTGTAGCGCGAAACTGAGATTTTTCAACCATAACCAATCAAATTTAGATAGCAACTCAGAAAATTTTGGAATTGTCTGAGCTACTCACTAACCTTGGAATAAAGTGTGAGAATGAAATTATCTGGTTGCAGCTTGCCAGCATTTCCTGGACTGCATCCTTATTTTTGTCATTCATGGCATCAAAATGTGTAGCAAGGGAGTTATCTCCATTTGTGAGTCCGTCGGGCCACTTGCATGCACGGAAGTCCTTACATGCCTGTGCCAGAAAAGATAAGAGTGAATTACAACAGTAATATTGCACTGTACTAGCAGTCTACCATAGAACACAGAGTCAGTAAACTACGAGTATCATATAAACCAACGTCTATTAACTGTGTAATAGATAGGAAAACTTCTTGAAAGAAAAAAAAAATTGTCCCAGAATTCCAAACTCACAAATAACACAGAGAAATGCTACAATACAAGTAGTAAAATGAACAGGCTCAGAACAGAGGAAGTGCATCCAAAGCAGCCAAAAACAGAAGAGTCACTAAGATAGTTAAATAAATAAAATGCAAAAGAAGATGAGCAAGTAGCTTGCAAATGTCAACTATTATCCCCATATACTCACCTACACACAACAGAAAGTTGAAGTCACCCCAAGGTAATAAGCACATTTTCCTTGGACTAGCCAGGAATTTTTTACTGATAAAAACAAAGTGCAAACGGATGCACATCACTTCAGAGCACTGAGTGTGATGGAAGAGCTAACAAAGCACTTCTCATTTCAGTTTCCGTTGTCAGTAAGCTAAAGATTGGCACATTCAACTTGCTCATCTTTTATCTATCTCTTTTGAAAGAAAACAAGGTCGAGGAGGGAACAACTAACATATTGTCAAACAAAAAGATTTTAAAATCCTTACAAATGAGAAAGAAAGTGAATCACCAGCTCCAAAGAAGGAATGCGGATGCCAGGTATGTCCTTTTCCTTATCAAAGCTCTGGGATAAAGCAGAAATGACATCAAGATGTGCACAGAATGACCCAGCTGCAAAAATAGTTTTGCTATTTCACAGCAAGATTTACCTCGTGATACCATGAGAATAGAGGAATAATTGCCAAACCATCAATGACACTAGGATTAGTTTCCACTCCAAGTCTCTGACATGCATCAAGCATTTTATCCAGCTTTTGAAGAGAATCAATCTGAATACAGAGATGCATCACATTAATCATGTGATATTGCTTTTAGTTTAACAAAAGCAATAATCTACTTCAGTGCATATTGAAGAGGGAAAAGGGAAGAAGAGGAGAGGAAACACCACCAATATTCATTCGTAACTTTTACTTTTTTCTGCATGGACAAAGCTTTTGAGACCTAACTTTAATAAGACTGTCTAAAAGGCAATGTTGTAGATTGAGAAACACATATGCATAATAAAATGCAGCTATAAATGCTTCAAAAGGAGAATTTCTCCTCAGCTTAAAGTCCCCATAAGCGACAGGATCCCATAATGTCACAAAAGCATTTTAACAAGACACCGCCATGACATATGAATGTAAAATAGCAACAACAACTAGTGGCATATGATGCAATTCAACGCATTACTTTTGAACTAAATTCTGCAAATAATATCGTCATGGAACAATATGAAGAAAAGACTGCTTACATAATTCTCTTTCTCCCTACGGAGCCAAAGGTCGTGGTTTCCGGGCACAAAGAACACATGCTCAAAACTAGCCTTCAAGAGGGACATAGTTAACACAAACTTCTCATAAGTCTCCGCAACATCACCTGCAACGAGAAGAACTTCCTTTTTCTTCCCCTTTTTTGGTAAGCCCTTTAACCATGCCATGTTCTCCGCGTACTCTGTATGCAAGTCTGAAACTACAAAAACCTCCAAACCAACTGTGTCTACCCTAGCAGAAGGGATAATCTTTTGCCTTGTAATATCAACATGCTTCATGAGATATCTCCCACAATTCTGGATTCTCATACATTTGTGAAGATATCTTGAACATCCAGGCTGCAGATTGAAAGTTGAGCTGGCCGTAATTAAGCATAGAACCATGATGCTGTTTTCCTCTCCTTTCCTATTTCCTCTACTATGGAATCAGCTAATCCTACATCAACACATCAAAATATTTATTCTGGAACATGAATAATAGACTATTGGTCAATGAAGTGGGTTAAGAATCATGAGGTCTCAAGTTCAAATACCAGCGGAGGCAAAAATACTAGGTGATTTTTTCCCATCTATCCTAGTCTTGATAGACCGAGGGTATCACGTATGGTGTGAAATTAGTTGAGGTGCGTGCAAGCTAACTCAAACACCATGATTATTAGAAAGAAAAAAAACACATATAAAGTTGTTCACCATTATATATGATGCACATAACATTTTTAGTTTGTGTAAATTCAACTAGTGAGTATTGCTTTCCCTAGAAAAAAAACCCTTCATATCAAAATGCAAATTTAAATTCACCCATCACATTATGAACGGGTAAAATAACAATAATGGAGGACAACAATGCCAGCAACATGGAGCGAGTGATTTTATCCACTAAGGCTTAGCTATTTTTGTCCAGGGCAGAATTTGAACTTGAGACCTCGTAATTCTCTTTTCACTTTATCCGCCACACGATGGAACAATTGCTAATTCTTAAAGCTAATAATGAAGATATCTTAATGTCGAAAAATGAAGATCTAATATAAAAAGGATATAAAACTAAAAACAAGTTTGTAAAAGACTACAAAACCAAATCTGCGGATACAAATAATGAACTGAATAGGAATTCTACGTAAACAATTATAGTGGATAAGGTAATAACTACCAAATCCTGTAGCTAAAATTCTGTAAATCAGTGAATTGAATAAGAATCGCTAATGATGATAATGGAGAATAACAATCTATAATGAAATCAGTCTAATCCATTGACCTAACAACTTGTAAATCACCAAAAGGAATATTGAAACAGAAGATAAAAGTACCATAGCATCACTGCCAAATGAGCCTCGATCGTCTGGAGACCGGAGATGGTGAAGAAACTAGTTTCAGAAGCAATTCAATTATCCTTAACCCATCGGGGAAATGGAAAAAAAAAAAAAAAAAAAACTACTTATTAGCCGTTTGGTCACAAAAAAAAAAAAAAAATCATTTAGAATTTTAGCAGAAGTATTTCAATATTAAAAAAAATTATGAAACTTTTGCTTTCTTTTTTGAAATTTTTAGTATTATTGTTATTTGAAGAGTTAAATTATAGTATATGTTTTTATACATCTTCATCCACTTTTAATTGTCATGTTACGCTTTTCAAAAATTAATTTGACTAATTTTCAAAGTTAAATTAGATTACATTAATTTAATATTTTAAACAAAAAAAAATTATATTAAAAAATTATACAATAAGTACTATAAATTGCATTGCATATCAATATGATGAAAAAACACATTGTAAAATGTTGGTCAAAATTCTTATCGTTTGACTCTAAAAAAGAAAAACATGACAATAAAAAATGGACAAGATAATAATTATAATCCGTTTAAACATTTTCAATATTGAGTTGATTAACTTTAGTACTTTGAAACAATTAGGACTAAGATTTTTTTTTTTTATATATATATTTTAAAAGTATTTAACAATGTAAATTATTTGTGGGTTTTTTTCTTTTTAATTGAGAACTTACTCAAATGAAATCATTATTGGTTACATGTGATTGATAGGATATTGCCCATTGCCACATTATTACTTAACACAAAATTCAATCAATTCTCAAAGTATGATACAAAATTTTATATTAAAAAATAAAAATATCTAATTGTACTTCTTTCGTTTAAAATACTTGACACGATGTCAAAAGTTAATTTAATTAATTTTTAAAGTCAAATTTAATTAATAATTTAAAATTAAAATTTTAAGAATATACACAAAGTACTATACGATGCGATTATTTTCAAACACAGATGAATTTCTCTTTTATTAATATTTATTATTAATAATAAAGTAAACTTGCTTAGTTTATAGAAAATTCATTGGAATATTTATGATGATAAAAGTTCAATTAATATCCACAAAAAAAGTTGGAAAATTTTAACCAAAAGTGTCTTATGAATAATTGTTCATTTTTGTTCAATTAATTTTTTTACTATAATGTTATAATAATATCAAACAAGATAACAATACTCTCACTAGTCCCTTGTATATACCTCCAACCAATTTTGTAAAAAATAAAAACTTGAGGACTGTACTCGGCTTTTTCCTCAACTTCAATGCCCAGCCTTAACGTTTGCTCCATTTCTTCACCTGACTGTCTCGTCCATCGCCGCCGACTTGAGCCCTTGAACTCTTTGAGCTCTCTTATTCCCTCGGCCTAATTTTTTTTATTCTACTTGGATATTTTGTTTCATCAGATCTGGGCGTCTCTTTTATGTATGTATCTCCTTCGTCTGCTTTTGGTTCTTCGTTTAATCTTGCCTGTTATTGGAATTTGTTTCTTTTTTGTGCATCTTCAGTATGTTTTCGTACCTGAATTTGGGGTTTTTTTTGGTTCTTTGGAAGCCCTTATTTTTTGGGGTCTAGGGTTGAGCCGCCCTTGTAAGGAACTCACCGGGATGTATAAACTTCTCAGCTTTAGGGATTAGAACTTAGTTAGAAGGAGAATCTGCTTTTAATCTGTTGTGAATCCTGAAATGAGTTTTCACCATTGGAACTTACTTGTCAGCTATGTTGGTATGTGACTCTTCAAAAAATGCAAACTGCTGTGTGTTGGATCCTGCAAGTTTCAATTGTTAGTCTGATAACTTGTTGTGCCTCTAGCAGTTAGCTAGTTCTATTCTATTCTGATAGAATCAAATTACTGTTTGTGCCTTTCTCTACTGAATTAAGGTCTAATATGCTTATGATTTCTTGCATTACCAATAAAGAGAAATGTTTAAATAAAGGAATACAAAGTATGTTTTCGTTGATGGGAGCGGATTCACTCCAGTAAGTTTCAGTCCAGTATTCTCCAATGCAGTATATGATATAGGACACGTATAGAAAAAAGTTTTAATGTTCTTGATTCAGTTTGTAATGATATTCAAATTTTATTTGAGTTTACAATTAAAAAAATTAGAACTACAATGCTTCTCCTTCCTCTGGTTTGTCTTCATTTTTACTCTCTTCAAGGTCGTCTTCTTATTTCTTCTGGCTAGTAATTTCTCAACAACAAGAACAACAAACCCCAGTGAAATTCCACAAAGTGGGGTCTGGGGAGGGTAGAGTGTATGCAGGCCTTACCGCTACATCTCCGAGGTAGTAGCTAGTAATTTCACAAAGAGCTTAATTTTAAGAGAATTGACCACCTTGATTTTTCTGCGTAAAGAAGCACCCGACATAATCATATTATGAAAAAAGGTAATATTGTGCTAACAATTACAAAAGAGAATGGGCTGAAATTTTCCAACTAATAAAGTAAAGGAGTGATCAGTGATAATTTGTCAATGTTTTCTGGGTAGTCTCAGTAGGGGATTGCAGTATATTTTGTATTGTGACCGTGCTTTTCTTTTTCTTGTTCTGTTTTGGCAGAGAAACCACTTTTGGCGCTTTGCAGAAGACATAATTGATAAATCCGAAAGAGTCATGGTCCAAGGAGATGAGAAGGAGGGTATGCTTCGTAAGCTGGAGAAGAAATCCAAGAAAAGCAAGAAGAATGCTGCCACCAGTGGTCTTGGAGGAGAGAGTGATGAGTGTGACTTTAAGAGAAAGAAAAAAAGAGAAGGTGGAAAACATTCTGGAAAACCCAACAAAGTCAGTGATGAAGATGTTGTGAAATGTGTTGAGAAAAAGAATAAGCTGAAGAAAAGCTGCTTGAATGAGCCTTTAGACACCAAAACTAGTGCAACTGAAATGCAGGACAATGACAAGGTAGTTGAGACCCTTGGTGAGGTCTCTGGTGGAGACGTTGTGGACGTGATTAGAAGGAAAAAGAAATCCAAGAAAAACATTAAGACTATCAATGGTGTAGAAGTGACAAACACTGATATTAAAGCTAAGAGTGATGACTTTGACATCAAGAGAAAGAAAGAAAGAAAACATGGAAAACGTTCTGGGAAGTTTAGTGAAGACAGCGATGAGGTTGCTTTGAGAATTGTTAAAGGGAATAAAAGTAGGAAATTGAAGAAAAGCTGTGGGGATGAGCTGGAGAAAATACATGATACTAAGGATATACAGGAAGATGCTGCTGCTGAAGTCAATGAAGGTGATATTTCTTCACCTATAGAGATGGAAGATAAAACCAAAACAGACAAAGGTAAAATCAAAAAGAGAAAAAGAATAAAATTAGGACACAGCTCTGAAGATCCTATACATGAGAAGAGTGAAAAGAGAGTGCGATTTTCTGGTCAGGTTCAAATTTTCCCTTCATTGAATGATTCAAGTGATGAGAAGCATGAGATCGAGGAAGAAAATTTAGTGCATGGCAAGCGATTCTCAAAGTTAGAAGATGAAATTATCAAAGAGGCTGTTCATAAATACATAGAGGTACACAACTTAGGTGAAGAAGGGCTGAAAAAGGTTTTAAATGCTAGATCTTATCCTGAAATTAAGGGTTGCTGGAAAGAAATAGGGAGTGCTCTACCATACAGACCTTCGAAGGCATTTTATTCTCGTGCCCAGGTCCTGTTTCGGAGGAGTGAATCACGTAAATGGACTGAAGAAGAGTATGAGATGGTACGGAAGTTCCAGAAAGAGCATGGAAACAATTGGAGGGTCTTAGCCGATGAACTTGGAAAACATCGGTGGCATGTGAAGGATACATGGCGAAGGCTAAAACTGCCCAATCAGAATAAAGGACAATGGACTCAGGAGGAGTACCAGAATTTGTTTGATTTAGTAAACACCGATCTGAGACTGAAGCTTTCTGAAGAGAAGAAATCTAAGCATGGGATGCTACGGGATAATATTGCATGGGGTGCAATAAGTGAAAACTTATCCACCAGAACTGATGCAAACTGCTGCTTAAAATGGTATGATCAATTGACATCACCCATGGTGGCCAAAGGTGAATGGGCGGATGCTGATGACTATCGCCTAGTTGATGCACTTTTTGAGCTGGATGCAAGCTGCATAGAAGATGTGGACTGGGACAATCTTCTTGACCACAGGCCTGGAGAGATATGTCGAAAGAGATGGAACCAAATGATTCTTCACATAGGTCAACTTGGAAACAAGTCATTTGCTGATCAAGTAGAAGTTCTAGCTAAGAGATACCGTCCGGATTTGGTCGAAGTAAGAGAGGCTTGGGACAGTAAACCAATCGTTCCATGATATGCCCATCACTCAGCAGTGATGTGTCTGAAGAGAGTTACTTCACAGCAACACATACTATTGGCAACCTCCCCCTCTCCATTTTAGTAATTATTAAAAGATTTTGTAGAACATTTAGTAGACATAATTCGGAGGAGGTCCAGTGTTGTGTGGTGGAAAGAAAATGGAGAGATTTTTACAGTTTGATATTGGACAGTTGTCTGTACTCTGTAGGGCAAGAGATCAATCAACTTCAACTTGAAACTGAAGGTTCTGACAATGTGTTGTAACCATGGCTTTTGTGTTTCTATCACAATTTTATTATATGTAACGCATCTTTATTTTCCCCCCAATTTCATAACATATGCATGTGTTCAGTACCTCAGCTAATCTTGAATATCATGTTACTATTAAAACTTGTGTCACTAAATCACTCAGGACACCAGATGCTCCAGCTGCTCTACTGGGGTAGAGAGATATGGCTAGCAATTATTGATAGTAGCTAATTGGAAGTTTGGTGTTGCTTACTGAATCTCGCAGGCAGTTTCTTTTATCCATATTATTATTTGTTGATACACTTGTTTTATACATTGCTATTTTGTAGTCTCTTTTCTTTTTGACTTTCCTATGTCAGTGACTTTTCTTTCGAGCCATGGTCTATCAGAAACAACATTTTTACCCGCAAAGGTAGAGGTAAGGTCCACATAAATCTTACCCTTCCCAAATCGCACCTGTGTGATTAAACTGAGTATGATGCTGTTGTATTGGTTCGCACCATAAAAAGATTGTGACATGGTGAATGATTAAAAAAAAGTTAAAATCTGACTTATGGAGTTACAGCAGAAGCTTGACACAGTTGGATTCACAACAAGAAGCATATATACATTTGTTGATTTTAGCGTTCTGCATTTGGAGCAACATTTTGCAATATCTTTACATTGTGAACAAAATCTCAGCATAAACTGTAATCTTAAAAAGTATATTGGGGACCCTTTAATTACCTATTATAACATAATCATGCAAAGAGCTGAGTATTAAAATGTAACATCATTTGGTACTTGCAATCAATTTTGATCATGTCATAAGAAATGATAAATTCCAGTACATGTAACGTCACAACGACAGAAGCATATACTGGAAAAAAGTAGAAAAAGGAGGAACCGAAGAGGAATAGCAGGGGATTAGGACGAGCAAAAATTATCTTAAAAAAGGAAAGAGAATTGTATGCATCTGCGTTTAGTTGCGTGTTCATCTTAATACAGAACTCTTGACGTAAAACATAAATTTATGTGTTTTTATTCACTAAAATTGCAACAAATAGTAGGTCTGAACTCATAAACGTATCTTTCCATATGCCTATGGTTGTAGAAGGAGGTCACATGAGAAGATATACAAGTATAATTACGTAGACTCGTATGTATACATATAGTGACATGACATACGATAATGCAAAGGACAAATGAATAATTCTAGGCGTAACAATATTGAAGACTACATTTAAATATGTATATTTAGAGTTCACATGAGGCATCATGAGCAGTGCCTTACTGTCCCCTAAACAAAACAAAACAATGCCGACACTGTCGTGCTTCAATCTGAAGCTCCACACTCGTCTTATTTCTATACTTAGATACATATTAAATTTTTACTATTTTACATATGTCCCAATAGTAAAAATTCAGTGGTGGAGATGGTAGTCTGCATGTGGATTTTGCTTATTAAATATGTATAAATATTAAATTTAGAATTCAGTTATTATCATTTAAAATCGTAATTATAAAATTCATAATACATAAAGTTAGAATCTTAATTTCACCTCTGGGTAAGATTATGATATCTTTACAACTTCCAAGGAATCAAATACACCCACTAAAATAGTTAATAATGGTTTGTTTTAAGTTGCTATCGTCCTTGCCAATTTAAAAAAAACGAATTTTGATTTGTTGAGAATTTGTGGTAATATATCAAGATAGTGGCATTCAATTTACATACTAAAAAAAATACAATGCGTCCTTGACAAGATGAGGAATTCTTTGTAACTTCCAAGGAATCAAATACACCCACTAAAATAAGTTAATAATGGTCTGTTCTAAGTTGCTATCGTCCTTGACAAGTTGAAAAATGAATTTTGATTTGTTGAGAATTTGTGGTAATATATCAAGATAGTGACATTCAATTTACATACTATAAAAATACAATGCGTGACAAGGATTTCGATCCTATCTAGGTTGTGATTTGGCAAATATAATGGAGTAAAGTGCATTTCACCATTTCATTAAATTAATATACTTATCTTAATTTTAAAAAAAAGTTGGACTTCATATTCAACAAAACAGTTACAAAAGTAATGTTGGTCTTGGTCCACCATTATGGTTAGAGGAAATGTTATAGATCACTATAGTCTATAGTAGTAAAACATTTAAAAATTTGTCTGACAATAGATAGTAAGGGCGTAAATGCTGACATAATAAGAACTACCTGTAACAATTTTCTTGAAATCTTGAAAGTTAAAGATTTGATGAGTTGTGTTTGGACCGCAGAGGCTGAGCCAGAATTTAAAGTTTATGAATTTAGAATTTATATTCTTTTAAGTTACTGTGTTTTACATTAATAATTTATACATTCAATGATTTTTTTACTATACATTCAAAATTTAAATCAAAGTTACTGAATTCGATCGAACTTATAACCAACACACTAGCTCCGCCCTGGTATAGGTAGGGGTAGGGGTGGGGTGGGGTGAGGCAAAAGTATACATTGCATTGTGGCACCACAAGTCCACAACCACAAACTAGAGTGTCACTTGTCATGATATATATCTCTATAAATAGAAAAATCTGCCCAGCCAGATTTACTTGTCCACCTCAAGCAGTAACAACCTTTCCTTATCAGCCCACACCTGATAACGACACGAATTTAAATTTTTTTAAAACTTAAAATTTACAAAAAAAAAAAAAAGATAATTATTTACATACATATATTAAAATTTCCATCTACCGACTGCCCACATAGCATTAAGAAATACTACTATATATAAATAGCTCATTCACACATTAAAACCCCAAAGTTTAGCTTCAATTTCCCCTTTCACTTAAAGGGGCTACCTCTTTCTTCACATTTAAATATTACCGTCAATTTTTGTAGTCAAAGCCAAAACCGAAGCCTACCAGAAAAACCACAGAAGGATGTCATCAACTTCACCACTTCTACTATGGTGCTGCTTGTATTTGTGTCTGGCAACAACGACGCCGACGATATATTCTCGTTTACAGCCACGAAATCTGATCGTAGATTCAAATTCCAGTGCGAAAGAGTTCAACCGCAGAAACCTCTTGGGCAATGGCCTTGGCCGAACTCCGCAAATGGGGTAAGATTTTGTTTTCAAAGTTACTTATAATCTACCGTCGGTGTACAAAACTTATAACCGTATTATTATTAGTGTAAGACATTGTTGATTTTGTTTGAATAATATAGTGTGTGTTAGTAAGACATTTATAAAAATAGTGTTAAATATGACGTGTTAGTAATACTTTTATTAATTATGGTGAAATTATTTCTTCTACTGTATCTAATTTGGTGTATTAGACATAGCATACATTGCAAAATTACCCTTCATAAATATGATGAAAAGGATATGAAAAAGATTTTGAGAGACAATAATCGTGTTAATACATGCATTAAAGCATTTTGCATTACTAATCTCATGAATTTCTATGTATTAGATGTTATACCTACCTTAATACCAGCCAAATAAAATATATTATTAATTATACATAAACTAAAAATATATATCACACAAACTACCAATAATACATAAATCTAATACATACTAAAGCAAGCTATCAAATTGGGACCCTTTATTGTTATAATGAAAGAGAAACCATGAAGAAATGCTATGTAGGTGGGAATCATAATGAAAGCTCGTGAACTTGTCAAAGTTGTCTCTACATGTTTGTTGTACCAATAAAATAATTAATTAAGCTCTATAAATTCAAAAACGTTTTACGTACAAGAAAACAAAAAAAAACTTCAGACGAGCCAGTGATTTATTAATTAGCACATAATTTTCTTGGATTTTTCATATATGTGGACCCCATCCATTCCCATAAGAAAGGCGTTCCAAAGAGGACGTTATGAAAATATTACTTATTAAAAGTCATAATAAAATTGACTTATACTCCCTCCATTTCAAATTAATTGCATTGTTGAGATATTTTTCATTTTTCAAATTAACTTAATTGTTCAGTTTTCAAAACTACATTTAGAGTGTTCTTCCAATTTTACCCTTCATTAGTTAGTATTGGAATTAGTGATTAATTAATATTTAGTTATTTTAATCATAAATTTGACAATAATTAATAAGGGTAAAAATGGAAAGTTATGCCTAATTTATGTCTTAATCTTCTTTTCTTAAAGGGTGTGAAATATCTCAACAATTCAATTAATTTGAAATGGAGGGAGTATGAAAATATAATTAATTCATTATTTTTTTTTGTTTTACGACAATATATATGTCCTCTTTGGTGTGCCTATGTGTGTAAGGAATCAAGAAAACGCCCTAAATGATTAAATTTATGATCTACATTTTAACATATTTCAATTTAGTCTATTTATTAACTCAGCCAGCTTCCATTTACGATATTCCGTTCAACTTACCCATTTAACACTTCTAAAAATAATGATTCAAACTGAAATGTCATAATAAATTATTTGTAGAAGATGTGTCTTTTCTAACCAGTAAGCACGATATAGTAGAATAACAACAAAGACTTTTAAATATATAATAGCCCTTTTTAAGTAACTTTTTACCGTTAATCATGCTCAAAGTCAAAAGTTAGTGAGCACTCGTTTGAATATGAATATTTATTTTCCTTGTTAATTTTTTACTAATATGTCTGAATTAAAATATATAATTATATTTTTATAAAAAATATTTGAAATAATGTTCATACAGATGGAGCAGCTGGAATCATTTTGGTTGCAATATAGATGAGAACATGATAAAGGGAACAGGTCAGCAAAATTATTTTCTACTTTGAAATGGAAAAGAGAAGTGTGATTAAATGAAATGAAATAAATATACATACTTGTACCATATAACATTTCCTTTGCTAGCTGCACAACAGTTGTCACTTTTTTCTCTTTTTGCGTTTTTGATGTGGCAGCTGATGCAATGGTATATACTGGACTTGCTTCTCTTGGATATGAGTACATCAATATAGGTAACATATTATATTAAAATTCAATATAAATTTATTTTATTAAAATATTAATAAATATAACATTTAATAGAATACTAGATTATTCTAGTATATATGTATCAACAAATATTTTTTAAGAATATTATTGTGGTTGGTAATGATAGTGACTGGTAATAGTGACTGCGATCGTAGATGTCGAATGCCATCGGCTAATGGTGGATAGTAGCTAGTGGTAGTCGGGGGTAACGGTTGATAGTTATAATAGATGATAGTAATAACTAATAATGGTAGTGAATAGTGATGGTGATTGACAATATATAATGTGGTAATTAATGGTGGTGAAAATTGTAAATAATGGGTAGTAATAGTGACAATTGATTATAGTGATTAATAGTGACAATAATTGTGACTAATGATGATGGATGGTGACACATAATTAATAACGGTGTGTGACAATGACAATAGTTAATGATGAATGATAATGACAGTAAAAATGAGTGAATGAAATTGATGAACTACTATTTTTGTGAAAATATTCGAATTAATGTCTTAATGATATTAGTTTTTTATTATAATAATTTCCACCGATTAAATACTTACAACCTAAAAAAACACGCACATTAAATAATTAAGGTTTAGACATAAGAAATAAACAAATTGAATGAATGAGATCTATATGATTATAATAATTAAAATATTTATTAAATGCAATAAATGAGGCTTCGAGGCCATACTGTTTAGTAAAAATTTGCTTTTTAATTTTATTCCTAATCAAATCATTTATCGTATATTATTCCTTCAGATGATTGTTGGGCCGAAGGCAATAGAGACTCGCAGGTACTCTATGGGTTGTCAGTAATTTAATAGTTTTTGTTCAAATCATAGATATTATATACGTTTAAAAAAAGTTTACTATTATGTATAAATATTTGATCGTAAACCAAATTATCATACATTTTAACAGGGAAATATGGTTGCTAAAGGTTCAACTTTTCCTTCTGGGATTAAAGCACTAGCAGATTATGTTCACAGCAAAGGATTAAAGCTTGGAGTTTATTCTGATGCTGGGTAAATCTACCAATTAACATTTTTTAAAATAATAATTAGTTACAGTTTTAGTCATAATTTTTATTTAAACTAACCATTTTATTATTATTACTATTATTGTAATGCAGGACTCAGACGTGTAGTAAACAAATGCCAGGTTCATTAGGACACGAAGAACAAGACGCAAAAACTTTTGCTTCCTGGGTATGTGTTTGCTTGGCCTACATTATACACACATTTAAAAAAAATAAAAAATCATACATAATTGTGGAGAATGGAGATTATATTTGAGTTTATTATTTTTACTTTTGCATTTAATCATCAATAGTTAACTTGTGTTATTTTTCTTAGGGTGTTGATTACTTGAAGTATGATAATTGTAACAATGAGAATCGAAGTCCAAGAGAAAGGTACTTACCATTTGCCTCTCGAAAAATAACTTATATGCATTCGATATTTACATCAAATCAATATATTTTGTTATAGTTAAGTAATAAATGAGATGAAAGATGACAATAGTTAAATAGTTAAGTGATACAAAAATTTCATGTACGCAGATAACATATGTTTTGAATATATTGATTTGATGTAAACACCATGGAGATGAATTAATTTTTTATTTATTTTTACCATTTCCTCCTTTCTCAACAAGAATATATATATATATACCTTTTGTTTCTTCTTTTACTGAGATATATTAAAATGCCCATAATTAACAATATTTGTTTCCTTAAATGAAACAGGTATCCCATAATGAGCAATGCTTTACAAAACTCTGGAAGGGCTATATTTTATTCCATGTGTGAATGGTGAGTGTATTTCTTGAATGCAAATAGCTAGTCAGTTTTATTGTTTATTTTTCTTAGTCGATATATATAAACAACTCACTAATTATACATTTATTATATATATTATATATTCATTGACTATTTTTCGTTAGTTAAGCAGTTTATAAGCGACTATTTAGGTTAATTCTTTCGGCCACATCTAAAATTATAGACTAAGAATTTCAATATGTTATTTTCCCAATTTCAGGGGAGATGATAATCCTGCCACGTGGGCTTCCTCTGTTGGAAATAGTTGGAGAACTACTGGAGATATTACTGATGATTGGAACAGGTAAAATATAGAAATTATAAAAATAAATAACTTGAAGTGTTATTCAATTATTCACAACTAGTCAACTACTAGAGACTATAAAAAATTATTTGTTTTCGTAAATTCTTCTACCCATTTTTGATCGAATCAGATTAAAGACATTTAACTTGTACGTTTTTTTTTTTAAATCCTTTCTTATAAATATTCACATTTTTATCATATTTATTCTTTAGAGTTTAAACAATTCTACGCGAAACGTTATGACAATGAATAAAATAGTGATGTTAGTGTGTTTCGCGATGCAGTATGACTTCTCGAGCAGATTTGAATGACCAGTGGGCATCTTATGCTGGTCCAGGTGGCTGGAATGGTATAAATTAATTCTCAAAAATTTATGTATTTTATTTTTCATTAATTATAAAAACTAAAATTAAATTTCTTATTAACTTTAATTGAAGTGATTTTAGTTACATGGTTTTAATTTGTTATTTCAGATCCAGATATGTTAGAAGTTGGAAATGGAGGAATGGATTTTGGAGAATATCGTTCTCATTTCAGTATTTGGGCATTAGTAAAAGTAAGTTCTAATTATTATAATTTGAATTTTTAATTTAATAAATTTTTGGAAAAAGATGGAATTTAATTTGTCATTGATATACTTGTGTTTTTTTTGTTTATAGGCACCTTTAATTATAGGTTGTGATTTAAGATCAATGGATAATACTGCCCATGACATTCTAAGCAACTCAGAGGTCATTGCAGTCAATCAAGGTAAAAGATTTTGCCTTTTTTTATTTTGATTCCGTTTGCGAGTGATAAAATTAACACATGAAAACATGATTTGTTTAAATTTGAGCGGATTAATGACCTAATCCAATTCAATTTTTAGCCGCCCCATTTAACTCATCTCATAGTTGCATATATACTCATTCATGCATAAACCATAAGGAGTCTCAAGTTCTGCTTGACAAAATGTCTGAAGTTACATATGAGTGAAGTTCAAGTATTTCTATCTTAAGTTGAAGCAAATACGGTTGGCCTTCAATCATTTTTGCCTAAACTTCAATCATGTACATTTTTGCCTAAACTTCAGTCATTTTTATTCAAATGTTAACCATATGATACTTCAGATAATGTGTTTTGAATTTTGAAGTATGTCATAAGTTATCCAAAAATGGGTGGACATATATATAAAAATAATCTTAAAAAAGGACCACAAAGTTAAATGACTATGTCAAAATCAAATACTCGTGCACTTCATCAATTATTTTTATTCTCTTCCTAGTTCAACTCAATCCGTTCATTTAACACCCCTGATTGTATTCTAATAAGATGAATAGTACGTAGTAGAAGACAAGAACATAACATGTTTTTACTTGTTAACATTGAGATCAGATAAACTTGGAGTTCAAGGTAAAAGAGTTAAGCAGTATGGAGATTTGGAGGTAAATATTTTAAATTATAATTTGTATTTCCAATTAACTCTTTTTTAAATTACAAAAACCAGTAAATATATACACTTGAAACAGGTTTGGGCAGGGCCTTTAAGTGGGAAAAGAGTAGCACTTGTGCTATGGAACAGAGGATCATCAAAGGCTGATATAACTGCTTATTGGTCTGATATTGGCCTTGATTCTTCCACTGTTGTTGATGCAAGAGACTTATGGGCTGTAAGTCTTTCATTTATTTTACTCTACTTTATTAAATTCCTCATATTTGATATTACGATCAATTAATAAATTAATATTAGGCCTAACTTAATCGTAGAAGTTAGCTTAAGAGGAAAGGGTTGTCTAAGTCATATTAAAGAGACCACACATCTTTTAAAAGGGCCAGAGTGGAACTCTTTACTCGATCACTATTGTTAGTTCTATATAGGAGAAATTCAAGTCTAATTTTTAAAAACTATCTACAATTAGTAGAAAATAGCAAAATCGAATTGAAATTTTAAGTCAAAATATTTAGTACGTACTAGTATTTGTTTTCTTAGTGCTCCTTGAACTAATGTCTTATTATTTTCGAGCATTAAGCTCAAGAATATGTTTATGCAATTATGTGTTAATATGATCGAATCTCTTATTATTATCGAGCATTAAGCTACAAAATAGTAGCAAAAAGTTTTAAAAAATTCTCATGATATTTAGTATCCCCTTTGGGTCATGAGTTGTTTATATATAGTGAGAGAAAAAGGGCAAAAAGATGATTCAACTAAATGTGTCCATATATTTGGATTTTACCCAAAATGTGTTGAGTTGAAGGTAAAGAGCATCATATCAAAGACGATTCTATTTTTAGGATTCAAACAACAAGAGATCTCTTACTACAATATATATTGACCGGTCGACTATTTGCACAAAACCACAATATTAATTAATCATATGTTGTGTAAGTTCCCAATTTTAATTTAATTGACACTTTCTAATTTATCATTTGGATTGAATTGTAGCATTCAACAAAAGGATCAGTTAAAGGACAAATATCAGCCAGTGTTGAATCACATGATTGCAGCATGTATGTTCTTACTCCCACAAAATAAGTTCAACCACATTAATCAAATGTTATAATTGATATGGAAAAACACCACATTGCTGGAGGAGTACTCATACATCATTTAGTTAGACTAAGAAAAATAAATTAAAGGGATTTTGTAATTATTATTAATTAGTATATTCTCTTTTATTTTATATAGTTAAGAGCCAGTTTCTTTGTATCGTATCGAACTTAAATAGTGAATTTTGTGTGGGGAGAATTTGATATGAGATATATATCATTATGTTTTATATCTTTTTTTGTATCTGCTTTTCGGATGTAAATTAAAATAACTAAATGGGAATTTAATCATGTTAAAATATGAAAAGATTATGACATACTCTATTATTTCCTCCGTTTATTTTTAATTGTCCAATCATTTTTTTTAAAAAAAAAACAAGAGATAAGTTATATTTTATCACTTCAGTTCTAATTTACAATTATTAATTATAATAATGTCCCAAAATAATGAAATAGATTAAGAGGGTGTTTGTATTAGCTTAAAAGTTGGTCACACCTACTTTTAAGTTAGTTTTTTACTTCTGAAAGTGTTTCGCAAATATAAAAATAACTTAAAATAAGTTAGGAAGTGTTTGACAAAGTAAAAAATGACTTAAAATAAGTCAAAAATCAAAAGTAGGTCTCTCTCTACTTTTTATTTTTCGACTTAAAAGTCATTACTTAAAGCTACTTTTTAAGTCGATCCAAACAGGCTCTAAGCCTCTTCTCAAGTATGATTGTCCAACAATGTCATAAAAAAAGCAAGAAATAGTAGTATTTGAGAGCTTAGGAGTTATTGATTATAAAACTTGAGTGTAATAGCCTGTGAATACAAATGAGGGATAGGAATACATTCAAAATTAAACCATAGGTAACACCTTGAGTGAATTTCGTTATGTATTAGACTGTATAACTAATGGAGAGAATCTTAAATTATTCAAAAATATAAATTTTTTGAGCTTACCTTGACTTGTTATCAGAATGTTTCCAACCTTATAACTCCAGAACCTATTTAATAAGAATCACAAACTGAGAACATGTATAACAACACCGGACAAACTCACATGGAAAACTAATATCACATTTGTCGTTTCATGTTTTTACTTCAATATCCACGTGTCATCATCTAATACACTCAACTACCAAGTTTGTATTTTACTTGCACCTATCAAGTTAAACCTATTTTAATTTAATTTCTACATTATTAGAGATAGCGTTCTTTTTTTAATCCGATTTAGGTTGCGCAAATTTTTACTCCATCAATTTAAATTAGAAGTGTCAAAGGGAGGATTAAATTTGAGTGAGTCAAAATGGGTTAAACTGATAAATAAACGGATTGGATTTATGACCTGCAATTTAACCTATTTCAGTCTAAGTAACTTTCAGTGGGTTATTTCAATTTTCAAGTCAATAACCTGACTATTTATCAATTCAATTCATTTTGACTTGCTCAAATTCAGAGTCAAGTCATCCATTTGACACGCACCAACTGATACTTACCACGTGTCAATTATTTTTATTTTTATTTTCATTTTCATATATGTTAATGTTATTTCTTATTCTATTTTGTTTTCTAAAAAAAATAAAAAATCTCTATTCTTCTTCTTCTTCAATGTTCAACTGCCGTTGGTGACCTCTTCTTTCACGCTGCCGGCGATTCTCCACCATAGCCACCACCCACCACACTTTAACACCATCTCAACCATTTTCTCTAGCAAATCAAAAATACAATTGAAAAATAAAAAACACTATCAAATCTCCAGCGCTTCTTCTTCGATCGTTCAATCATTTTTGTGTACTTCGCCTTTAATTTTTGCTCAAAATCAACATTTGTTGTATCTACAAAGACTGAAATTCTCTCTAACTCAGATAGGGTATTTGTTACTGGGTTTGAACGTGACCCCGACGATTCTCCCTTCGTCGTCGTCAAATCTTCGATGCTTCTCTCACCGGCCCTTTCCGATCTTCCTCCGCAACCTCACTTTGCTTTCATCTGTTTCTCTGTCAATAATCTCATTTATTAGATCTCCCTCAGCTAAAAATGAGTCCGAGAACTCTTCTGGGTAAGAGTAGATGAAGGACGGTACAAAATTAAAAAAACAAACATAAAACCAATAAAGTAAAAGGAAATAATATTTTAATTGAATAAATATTAAAATAAATAAATAACATTTCTTTTACTTTGTCTCACTCGCTAGTGGCGAGTGAATTACACTCCATGTGCCACATAGGATCATAAGGGGGTAATAAATCCACTTTGAACAAGAATAAGGGGGTAGTAGGACCATTTCAAAGATTTCGTGTCTTTTTAGAAAAAGTGTTATAGTTGAATGGGGTAATGATGTATTTTCCCTTAAAAAAACAAACTAATCAAGCTATCCACTGTAAGATAAATCACTAGGGTTTAAAAGATAAGGAATTTTCGCAAATAGCCACTTTAATAAACTTAATTACGTTCTATATAGTTTGCATATTTACGAGTTGTGGCTACAGTTTAAGTTATCTTGTTTGTATAATTCGTGGATTTGTATAATTTGCGGGTACATTTGTATAATTCAATTATTTTTGTATAAACTCAAAATAACGAATTTATACAATTACAAACATCAAAAGTGTAAACATTTATACAAATTATATTATACAAATTTTGAATTATACAAAAGTTATATAAAATCTGAATTATACAAACGTGTGAATTATACAAAACAAGTAGTTGAGCCGTGTAATTATAGCTAAAAGTAGATCGCGAATTGTAATTAAGACAAACTATAGTTATGTTAAGTAATTAACTAGTATATGTTTGCTTATACACGTAATTTTCCCTTAAAAGATAGCAAAGCCCAAGCCCAAGCCCAACGAAAGGAGCTTTTTAATGGCTCTGCGTTCCCAAAGTGTTTTCTCTCTAGCCGCAGTAAAATCCTAAAAGCAGAGGAAGCTACAGGAGAGTAACAGAGCACAACAATGGCGACGATCACACAGCAACCAGGGACATTGACGACGAAAGAGGCTGACATACAGATTATGTTGGCCGCTGAAGTCCACCTCGGCACCAAGAACTGTGATAATTCAGTAGGTATTTACATTAATCTTTCTAGTTTTTACGTGCACTTCGTCAAAGCTGATAGATTCCTAAGAATAGGATTGAAAACTAGAAAAAAGTAAATTCGAAAAGTATTTTCCGTTTTGTTTTTCTGATTTTAAAACAAATATTTTTGACTTTATACTACTAGCACTAAGGCTGGCAACGGAACCGGGAGGTACGGTACCGGTTCCGGTCCGTTACCGGTTCCGGATAGTACCGATTCGGTTCCGTCCCGTGGTGCCCAGTTCCGTTCCGGTTCCGGTCCGTCCCGGTTGCACATTCAGATAATCAATGTGCAATCCATTTTTCTCTTGATGTGTTTTCATATGCTACGATTTTTCATTTGTGGAAGAATAGCAGATGCAGAATCAGTTGACACTGAATTACTTAGTTTATTATGTCTATTTTTTGTCTCTGATGTTTATTCTATCTGTTTGTTGAAGGTAATAAAAGTAGGAAGTTGAAGAAAAGCTGCAGGGATGAGCTGGAGAAAATACATGATACTGAGGATATGCAGGAAGATGTTGCTGCTGAAGTCAATGAAGGTGATATTTCTTCACCTATAGAGATGGAAGATAAAAACAAAACAGATAGAGGTAAAATCAAAAAGAGAAAAATGGTAAAATTAGGACGCAGCTCTGAAGATCCTACACATGAGAAGAGTGAAAAGAGAGTGAGATTTTCAGGTCAAGTTCAGATTTTCCCTTCATTGAATGATCCAAGTGATGAGAAGCATGAGATTGAGAAAGAAAAGTTATTGCGTGGCAAGCGATTCTCAAAGCTAGAAGATGAAATTGTCAAAGAGGCTGTTCATAAATACATAGAGATACATAACTTAGGCAAAGAAGGGCTGAAAAAGGTTTTAAATGCTAGATCTTATACTGAAATTAAGGGTTGCTGGAAAGAAATAGGGAGGGCTATACCATACAGGCCTTCTACTGCAGTTTATTCTCGTGCGCAGATCCTGTTTCGAAGGAGTGAATCACGTAAATGGACTGAAGAAGAGTATGAGATGGTACGAAAGTTCCAGAAGGAGCATGGGAACAATTGGAGGATCTTAGCTGATGAACTTGAAAAACATCGGTGGCATGTGAAAGATACATGGCGAAGGCCAAAACTGCCCAATCAGAATAAAGGACAATGGACTCAGGAGGAGTACCAGAATTTGTTTGATTTAGTAAACACCGATCAGAGACTGAAGCTTTCTGAAGAGAAGAAATCTAACCATGGGATGCTACAGGATAATATTGCATGGGGTGTAATAAGTGAAAACTTGTCCACGAGAACTGCTGCAAATTGCTGCTTGAAATGGTATCAGGGCTGGCTGACTCAATAAGATGGGGGCCTCAAGCTCAACTTAAGAGAGGGCTTCTAATATTCATACTTTTATTTAAAATCTATAATTTCAGCTTTTTTAGATGCGAAGTTATTAGTTACTGTTTTAGAATTGATCTGTTTTAATAATTCCTTTTCAATTGATAATATAGTCAATTCATTCAATCTCTCTTGAAACATTGTTGATCTTAAATAAGATTTAATCAATATTAATTTCGAAAAACTGCTCTGGGCTAAGGTAATGGTTACAAGCACTGTTAATATTATTCTATAAGCAATATATGTATTTTGAAAAAAATCAAATCTTTTTATTTGATTGAGTACTTTTATTAGATCATTATCTTCCATTTGTATTGTTTCTCTTAACACTTTTAATTCAAAAAATAAATTTAAACCATTAATAGCAGAATAACTATTACTCTGAAACTTGGGAACAAGTCATTAGCCGATCAAGTAGAAGTTCTAGCTAACAGTAAGAGATACCGTCCTGATTTGGTTGAAGTAAGCTAAGAGAGACCTGGGACAGTAAATCAATCGTTCCATGATATGCCCATCACTCAGCATTGATGTGTCTGAAGAGAAATTCTATGATTTCGATTCTTTCTAAGTGATTAGGTCACTCCTCTTCTCTCAGATTGGGGAAGTATTTCACAGCAACACATACTATTGGCAACCCCCCTTTCCATAATTCGCAAGAGATATATAGGCTGTAAGTCTTTCATCTATTTACTCTATACTAGCTATTTGCACAAAACCACAATATTAATCATATGTTGTATAAGTTCCCAATTTTAATTTATCATTTGGATTGAATTGCAGCATTCAACAAAAGGATCAGTTAAAGGACAAATATCAGCCAGTGTTGAGTCACATGATTGCAGCATGAATGTTCTTACTCCTTGAAAATAAGTTCAACCGTTATAATTTATGTGGAAAAATACAACATTGCTGGAGTACTCATACATTATTTAGTTAGACTATGAAAAATGAATTAAAGGAATTTTATTATTTATATATTATTATTATTATTATTATATTATATTGTTAATGTGTTCCTCTGTTTTTTTTTTTGGTTTCCCACCTTGTGTCCGGAGCCCACATTGGAGTTCCAACTGAATCCGGATCGCGCACTGCAGTGCCCATTCGGGGGTGGCGCTCCCAACAAGATTTTCTACATACCCAGGGCTCAAACCCGAGACATCTGATTAAGGGTGAAACACTCCCACCAGTGCATCACAACCCATTGTTTCTTTGTTTTGTATTGAACTTATATAGTGCATTTTGTGTTTGGGAGAATTTGAAATGAGATATATATTAGTATTTTTTATATTTGGTCTTTGGACGTATATTAAAATAGCTAAATGAGGATTTAATCGTATTAAAATATAAAAAAGATTATGACATACTATATTACTCCCACCTTTCACTTTAACTTGTTAAGTTCAGAAAATTAAGAGATAATTTAAATTTATCACTTAGTTTCTAATTTATTTTTATTTTTAACTAAAGTATTTTTTTTTTCAAAAGTAATAAAATAGACTAAACCTTTCTCACGCGTGATTATCCAACAACATCATCAAAAAAGCTAGAGATAGTTGTATTTGAGAGCTTTGGGAGTAATTGGTTATAAAACTTGAGAATAATAATAGCTCCCAAGGACAAGATTCACGCAAGAATTTATCTAGCTTAAAACTAAACCTTAGATAATGCCTTGCTTATCTCAACTTGTCACCCAAATGTTCCTAGCATTATAACTCCAAAACCTGTTCAACAAGAAATATAAACTCGGACCATATGAGAACATGTATAAGGACGACATCGGACAAACTCACATGTAAAGCTAATATCACATTTTTTGTTTCATGTTGATTTATGTTCAATAACCACGTCATCATCCAATACACTCAACTATCGAATCTTATTTTACTTTATTAACTAATAAATTTAGTCGTGCTTCGCACGGTTATAAAAAATCTCATTAGATTTACAGAATTAATGCTTTCACTATATTTGAAAATTAAAAATATTTTAAAATATTCTTTTTTGAATCTCAAATTCATTTAGATTTTAAGTTTTGCTACTTCATTTTATTGTTAACACTATGTTTTATTAAAGAAAATTCTAACCTTTCATCTCCTAAAGCTTTTCCCTTACTTCCATAAAATAACATGTAATATCAATTTTAGTATTACAACTCCTAAGCATTTTTTTAAAAAAATAAATAAATTATGTGTGTTCATTGCTCGTATGTGTGTATAAATAAACGTGCTTCTCCAATCTCCATAACATAATATTTAAAAATGAAAAAAGTCAGATGATAAAAATTAGTAACTATTATTAATTTATAATTCACCAAGTGAAAGAAACTTTTGATAAAAGATGTTTATAATATTTATTGAAAGATAATTAATAAAAAAATTTAAATAATTTCTGAAATAACCTTTTATTCATCTTTCCACACGTCATAAAATCATAATTTTGTTAACTCTTATTAGTCATATAATTAATTAATTATCTTTTAGTTACGTGAATTTTTGTTTGAACTCTCCTAAGCAAGGCTTCAGGTTCAATACCTAATAAGAGTTTGTCGAGTATCTTGTTTGTATATAACTATTTATTTTAGATGTATAATATTAAATAATTATTCATATTTTACTTCACATTTTTTTAGACCAAAATAAAATACACGGACTGAAGAAGTATTTTCCTTCCAGTCTCACTAGACTGTATGTTTTAGTTTCTACCTCAATACATATCAAGAAAAATCAAATTAAAATCTAAAACAAAATTATTGTCTTTGAAAGTTTTACAGAAGCAAAGTAAAAGTTATGTACTTAGTAGATATCACTATTGATTGTGATATGGATTAGTGATATAAACACTCTTAGAATTTTTTTAGTTAGCAAAATCTGTTTGTTACTTATTGTTAAAAAAAATTGGACGGTTAGTCACGATCAGGGGTGGATCTTGGAAGGCCGGGGTGTCACGGACACGTCTTCGTCTGATAAAATTGCTATTTGTATAAAAATAAATATGTAGCACTATTATATTTAATGAGATTATTTTCAAAATGAAAATCTACCCAGAAAAAGTTAATATATATATATATATATATATATATATATATATATTAAAAGATGACATCGCTTGCAAAAAAATCTTGCGTACACCACTGATCATGACAACTAAGTATAGAATCTAATAATAAAATTATTATCATCCATTAAAGTGGAATATGAAAAGGACGTTGTAGCATTTCATAAAATATAGAATATGAGAAGATCGTAACGATTGGGCACAATCATTATTGTTTCTTTCATTAAAAATATAAATAATGAGTGAACTTTATAGTAATTTACTAACTAAAAAGTGAATAAAGAGCAAAAGAAATTAACCCAAAATAAGATACCAATAAAAAGAGAGTAAAAAAGTAAAAGAATTTGAAAAAAATAAATAGTACTGTTGCTATTCTTTTAATCCTTTAATTAGAAAATAAGATAAAAGATTAAAAAAAAAGTATAATTGATATATTGAAGAGAGACACACAAAAATGCAATAAATGACAATATTAAGATTGAAGAAATAAAATAGTGTAATTGCTAAATTTATTACATTAAATTTATTTTTAAAATAAAATTTGACCAATGATTCCCTCTATTAGTTGGAGACCATTTTTTTTGCTTTTGATATACAGAATGTAAAATTTTGTAATAGCATCTTGTCCTTGAGGATATACCTCTTCCATTTTGAGAAATAACTATCTAAATGTACTAAAATAAGCAATAATAAGTGTGTATATATATATTTGTAAATCATTTAAATTTCTACTTTATCAAACTAATTTGACTATCTCTTGAAGATCTTTGCCGCCGTCATTAAACTTTATTTGTCATATCTTGATGAATTTGAATCAAATTAATCTAACAGTTTCTCTTTGGTGAATCTTACACTGTGATCAAACTTTCTTTTCATATTGATGAACTTGTGTTTGACAATATGAATAAGATTTTTTTTGAAGAATATATCTATAATCTTCATAAAAGATATAATAAATTGTCACATCACTTTTTCTATGTCACCTCTTTTGATTATTAATCACATGATTAACGAACCAAATGAAGGAAAAAATTAAAAAGGAAGAAGATATATTGATTAAAAATAAAAATAAAAATAAAATAAAAAAGAGAAAATGAAACTGAGTAGCTAACAACTCCATAGAAGATTGTTATTTATAGATGGATTGAAAAGTTTTTGATAGAATGAAGTTGAGGAGACATGTTATTTAAGTAGAGATTGCAAATAGGTAGAGGGTTTTTTTGTAACTCATGAAATATAATTAGATATAGTAAATATGATGATTTATTTAATTATAAATATATAATTGTATAATAATAAATGAACGAAAAAAAGAAAAGAAGAGAAAAATAAATAAATATGAATGAAGGCCATAAAGAGGTGTTACATTACCTTGTTTACATCTATGTTTTATAGATATATAGATTACACCTATTAAGTTACCCTATTTTAATTTAATCTTTATGTGACTAGTGAAAGTGTTATTTTGTAAATCCGATTAAGGTTGTGCAAATATTTACTGCATCAGTTTAAATTAGAAGTGGCAAATGAATGATTTTACAAGGTGCTACAAAAAAATGTAAAAGAACAAATAAAATAATTAAATTTTTTAGGGTTAGGTTGAATATGAGTAAGTCAAAACATGTTAAGTTAGTAGATGAATGGGTTGAGTAATGACCTATATTTTAGTCCATTTCAGTTTAAGTAATTTTGTGTGGGTTATTTCAAATAAATTACCCGACTGTTTATTAACTCAATTCACTTTGTCTTGTCTAAATTCAAACTCAACCCGTCTTTTTGATACCTCTAATTATACCATCTAAATTTTTATGACTTGATTTCTCAACTATAGATAATTATCTCAAAAAGTTATTTTTCTTTGTTTTATAATAAAAATGTCATTTATTTATTATCATTTCACCTAAAAAAAATCATTCAAGATTTTTTTGGATAAATACTACTAATGTGAGATTTTTAAGTCATTTTTTTAAAAGTCTACCATTTTAATTAGTAAATTGACCCGTTCCACTTGGTTGACCCGCTAAAATTAAAATGGGTCAAACATATTACCGTAGGGCGGACCTACCCTTGGTCTTCATCGGAAAATTGTGTTGTATATAGAGGTCAAAATTTAGTTTAATAAATATAAATACATGAATTGACACCTCTTGAAACAAGTTGAAGGTTTAGTCTATTGGTTAGGAGATTGCAAAAACTCTATGAGGTCATGTGTTCAAGCCCTACAAAACCTCATTATATTTTTTTTTTACTGCGTCCACCACTGCATAGAGGACCCCTTTTTATCTTTTTTACATATATAAATTCCCCTTTCCTCGTTCTCAATTTAGGGCTATTTTTGCATCTCATTCCTTCCGATCGTAATTAAGGTTATCTCAAACTTTTTGCTTAAAGAACTTTTTTTTCCAATTGAGAGAGGTGAATATAAATTTGACTCATTTAATTTTAGCATAGCACACAAGTTTAACAAGTCAATTTACTCCTTAAAATTGATATCATTTCATGTTGTTAAAATGTTACCTTACTAAAATTAAAATAATCAAGCATTACTAATATTTTTTTTAAAAAAATTAATCATGTTTCCATTGTAAGAGCTGAATCACTAGGGTTTAAAAGGTAGCAAAGCCCAAGCCCAACATTAAAGCCCAACGAAAGGAGCTTTTTAATGGCTCTGCGTTCCCTTTAGTGTTTTCCCTCCAGCCGCAGTGAAACCCTAAAAGCAGAGGAAGCTAAGGGAGAGTAACAGAGCATAACAATGGCGGCAATCACACAGCAACCAAGGACATTGACGACGAAAGAGGCTGACATACAGCTGATGTTGGCAGCTGAAGTCCACCTCGGTACTAAGAACTGTGACTTCCAAATGGAACGTTACGTCTTCAAGCGTCGCAACGACGGTATACTCTATAGTTCACTATACTAAACTGCAAATATCCTCATTTTCATTCTGTTCCAGATCCATAATGATAATTTAGTAGGTATTTACATGATTTTCCCCTAGTATTTACGTGCTGGTATCGGAATATATGGTTATAAATATGTACTTCGTCAAAGCTACTAGATTCGTTAGAATAGGATATTGATACTTACTAGTGATTTGAAGGGGATAAAAGTGAATCCATATACCTAGTGAAAATATTTTCTTGTTTGGTCATAGGCTGCATGTTTAATTTAGTTATTATGTTTGAAAAATAATAATCTGACTCTATAGTGCTAGTACATTCAGGTAATTAATGTGCGATCCATATAGATTATGTGTTTTACTATGCTATGATTTTTTTTTATCTGTGGACGAATAGCAGATTCAAGATCACTTGACAATGAATTACTGTTTATTATGCCTATTTTTTGTCTGATATTTATACTATCTGTTTGTTGATTTATTATTAGGTAAAATGATATGTTAGTTGTGATGAATCCTGATTCTAATTAATTTGTATTCTGGCTGGGCTATATATTTGACTTCATAATCATGGTATTAGAAGAGTAATGTATCTCTTAGTTTAGCAAGAACTAACAACTATCCTTGTATCTTGATCGATCCTTTATTCCCAGGTATCTACATTATTAACGCTGGAAAGACATGGGATAAGCTGCATATGGCAGCTAGAGTTATTGTTTCTATTGAGAATCCTCAGGACATCATTGTGCAATCTGCCAGGCCCTATGGACAGAGAGCCGTCTTGAAGTTCGCACAATATACTGGTGCACATGCCATTGCTGGCCGTCACACCCCTGGTACCTTTACCAATCAGCTTCAGACTTCATACAGCGAGCCACGACTTCTCATTCTCACTGACCCTAGAACTGATCACCAGGTTGATACTGCTGTAATATCACTCATTTCTTTTTTAGCTGGTTGACATTTTATAACTAGTTTGAGTCATTTGCAGCCTATCAAGGAAGCTGCACTTGGAAACATCCCCACTATTGCCTTCTGTGACACTGATTCACCAATGCGCTATGTTGACATTGGTATCCCTGCCAATAACAAAGGGAAGCACAGTATTGGTGTTCTCTTTTGGATCTTAGCAAGGATGGTACTGCAGATGCGCGGTACTATTAGCGCAGGACCCAAGTGGGATGTCATGGTAAAATCTATCTGGAAGGATATCTATTGGCTCATAATTTTTTCCTTAGTTGCTGTACTAGTTTAATTGTTCTTAAGTTTGAATAATGATTTCAAGTTTCATTTTCATTTGGTGTTCCCAGAATTTAAACACGTGTTGTATGTATCTTGTAGCAGTTGAACATCTATCAATTCTCACATTTAATTTCATTCTCTGTTAGGTGGATCTCTTCTTTTACAGAGAGCCTGAAGAGGCAAAAGATCAACAAGAAGAGGAAGTACCTGCTATTGCTGATTATGCAGAATATGGTGGTGCTGCTCTTGGTGGTGACTGGACTAGCAGCCAAATCCCTGATGCTCAATGGGCTGCAGATGGTGCAACATCTGTTCCTGTAGCTACCGGTGGCTGGTCTGGAGAAGCAGGTTAGTGACATATTTTCTGTGAATGCATTTTTTTGAAGAAAAAAAAGAATATGATATCTGTCGTGGTTGAGTAACTTTTCTGACGTCTGCTGATTTGATGTATTTTTTCTCTTCTATATATAATGCCATATTTTGTCTCCATATATTTCAGTGGCTGAGGGAGGTTGGGATGCTGCAGCTCCTCCTCCTGCACCTGTTGGTGTACCAGAAGTGACCCCTACCCCAGCACCTGGCTTGGAATGAACTTGACTCCTTTAGAAAGTTCTTTTTGGTTAAAATTAGATATGTGAGTTCTTATAACAGACGGTTTTGTTTACGATGCAATTTTATTAAAATTTTGGACCTGTTGATGTACGAAATTATTTCAAATCATTTATAGCATGTCTTTTTAGTGCAGCCTTCTTTTTGAGGACTCAAGGTTTGGAAATTTGTCGGAAATGATAAGAGTAGCTGTTAAAACAAGTCTTGCTTACTGTTTCTGCTTTTTAAAGCCTGTTTGAATTGGTTTATTTTAAGTATTTTAATCTTTTTAGAGTGTTTGTGTAAATTAAAAGAAGTGTTTATTAGTATATTTGGTATTAAGTTAAAATGATTAAAATTTATCAAAAATCAGAAGTTAGAATTTCTGCAAGCTTTTTTTAAAGTTCAGTAGTCTGATTGATGTTGTAGACCAGTGCGATGATGGGTTGGTTACCTGAGTTCTTTTAGTTAATGAGTCGTATATTGCAGTTAATAAGTTTCTTTTCTCTCGTTTGCAATGTAATTCCCTTAATCTAATATTACCGTAGTGTTTGCTTAATGCTTTTTGGTGTTATTTTGTTGCCAAAATGTTGAAAGATACACTAGCATATCGTTGAAATCGTCCAGCCTTTTGTTAGATACTCCCTCTGTTACATCCCCTTAAAGAAGTTTTTATAAGGGATGTGTTTTACTAAACTTGTCTTAGTATTGATGTTTTGGAATTCTAAATTTGACTATTTCGTTTTTTAACACTACAAACGTAAGTCGTATGTGATAACTTAATAAGTAAAATTTCTCAAAATGTGATCCGGAAGGATAGAGCGTGTAGGTTCTACCTCCATTATTTCTTGGAGGTAGAGATGTCTTTGAAGTATGTGATAACTTAATGAAAACGTTAAGTCAATTCAGACCAAAACTTGACGTTATGAAAACTTAACATGGAAGTGCTCCTTTTAACAGTGAGAATGTCCTATTAAGGACACATTCAATTTTACAATTTTGATTGGGAGGAGATGAGAGGTTCTCAAGATCTATAAGGTATAAAAATGAACACAATAAACCTGCATTCCAATTGGTACGTGTTACTTTGAAGACCTTTTTTGTATTAGACCATTCTATTTGCATTTAACAGACCATTTTTCGTTTGATAAATCTGATTTGGTACAATTGTATATATTCATCGTTTCTGCAAGACTATGAAGTTTAAATCATTATCAACTATGTGACTGTACTTGAAATGGGTTCCTAATGGCTATGATCTTTACTTTTACAAGTGAGAAGAGAACCTCGACCAAGGGGATCAGGCCACGAGTATGGATCCAATTTTCGTCAGCTACTTGAATAAGTTATAGCCGAGGGAACTGCAGATTTACGAATATTCCTTGTGGCTTCTCATCCTTGTCACCAAGTGTCTCCCTTTCTCTTCTATGTGACGCTTCTTCTCTTCAAGCTTTTCCCCCATTTTTTTCCGCAAACCAAGCATCTTAGCCCTTGCACCTGTTCTTTTTGGCTTCATCTCATCTTCTGTAGAACTATTTTGTTCCTCTAGCATACTCAGTGAATGAGAAGGTGACGGTGAGTAGCTTTGCATGTTTTCCTCTGTGCTCATGCGGTGACTCTCTAGCTGTTCATTGTGGCTCAACAAAGGGGCATGCAAGTCCGCTCCAGAAGACTGGCCCATATGAACTGATAAATATACCTGTGGGTCCGATGACTTGCGTTGTAGTGTCTCTCCGTGATGTTTTTTAGACTTAAGATGTGTTCGTTCTGGACTAGTAGTGAGGCTTCTGAAACTAGGCTGAACCTTAGGAGCTGAGTACAAAGAGTGTGGATCCAGGGACTTGCTCTTTTGAGTAGCCCATCCACCAACTCTGTTCAGTTTTTCTTGTTCATTTTCAGCATTACTGCTGGTACTTCTCCTATCTGCTTCTTGTTTCTTAGCATTACCTGCAGATTTGTTATGAATCCATATATATGGAGCATCTTTTAGGGGAACCCAGTCATCCTTTTCCGCTATCATCCAAGGTATGCATACATTCTCACAGTTTGGAAGCACAACAGATTCACGAATAGCAGCCTGCATCAGTTTGCAACAGCATCAGCTCAACTCCCAAGAAAATTTAAGCAAACAATGTTGCCGGTAGGTGCAGAGAAGAGAACATATATGGAAAAATTGCCAACACGTCCCCTGGTGTAAAATCTTAAAATCGATAAGTTGATTTTTCTTTTGTAGTCCGCACGATTTGCAAAAAATTCAGGTCATTGAGTAAGGTAGTGCTACAGAAAGACAAGAAAAAGTTCTAAAAGTAATAAACTGGCTAGACGAGCATTAGTGTATTCTACTTGCACACTATCTATTGGTGCCATATAGAGTACCATCATCCTCTCTCCCCACGAAAGAAGTAACCAAATCACTCTCTGAGTACCTTTATAAATTTCACTAAATAGATACTGTGATGATCTATCTGAGACCAATTTAACGTATCATCCATCTACACAAAATCAGCTCATGGATCTTATGAGGTGGATACTTTGATTGGGCCAACTAAAGTCAAGCAGCTTTTATGATGCTTTAAGTTGAAGAAAATCAGGAACGAGAAGAATAGCAGATGGCAATAGCACCTCATGCCCTTACATGGGATTTTTGGTCAGTTGTCAAGAGTACGGAATAGTTGTCTCCTAAGTTTCAGGCCATTTTGGCGTACATTCTACCTTTGTCATTCACAGAACCTAAAAGCTTGTGTAGCTGACTGGCAACCTCAATTTACTTGATGAATATCATTCAAACAATAGAGTAGATTACTTTTAAAACTGACCTTAATTCGACTGGTTATGAACAACAAAAGGTGTCCACTTGAGATCTTACGATCCCCAACAGAAGAGTTCAAATGGATATCAATATCTGGCATCGCTGTGAATCCAAACCATATTTGATCTGAAGGTGGTGGCTTTACGTATAACCTCAGTGTTCCTCGTAGAGATGCAACCCTGATCCCTAACGAGAGTGGAACCTGAATGTTGAAATACAATGGTTAGAAATCGATGAGCTGCTTCCACTAGCTACAAGATGGACACATAAAATTTTCCATTCATTACTGCAAAGCCAACATAAACAGGAAAAAAGGAGCATAAGTTTCTGAATATCTTAGTAATACAGGCAATAGGAAAATATCAGTGAAGCACAAGTTTCATAATTGTATAATGAGTCAATCCCATTCTCACAACAATTTATTTCCCAATTCTACCACCTTGCATCCTCATTTTAACTATCGTTTTCTATTTTCATCAATTGTCAAAGAGAAAATACCAAAGGTCAACTTATGACATGAGTTTTAGTTACTTCCTTTTTTCTGTAGCATAACAAGGAGACAATTATTATAGATAATTATGATCGAAAGCTAGTGTTGTACCCTAGCCATGAATTTTGCAATAGGTTCAAAAGTATTGTAACACGTTTGTTGCAGCAATTGACATCCACCAGCAAGTTAAGCGTTTAAACACAGCAAAGCCAGGAAGTTTATTTCAGGGAAACCCAAGGTTAAATTGCTAGAGATAAGCAGAACATTATAACCAACCTGTGAAACCTGCTTGGCCACAGAATGTAAGATTGATTTCCACTTAGATCCAGGAAGTGAGCTACTAGAGCAATTAGAGCTTCTGCTCGCGGTTGAAAAGTTACCTGATTAATGCACTTTAGATTACTAACTGATAACGATATATTTATTTTTCCACAATGAATAACCAAAAAAGGTTTTGTTACATACGTGCAAGTATATCACCATCACTTCTTTGGTCCATCTTATCTGTGTTCTCATCAGAATGCTTAAATTGTTCACTGAAGCGTTCAAAACCTTCTAACAGATCTGATTTGACGTTATCAACAACACTTGAATCTAAACTTGCTTCGTCCCCCTCATGTAAATCAAGGTCTTGAACTTCAAGCCTCGTTTCAAGGTCTAATATTGCACCACCAGAGTACTGAACATCAATTTCGAAAGCCCAGAGCTCGTTCATATCTGAGGGAAGAACCCTCATTGCATGTATATAGGGAGGGAGGTCACCAACATTAACAGCAGCACAAGTTACTTCACCTATGTAACTGGGGCTACGAATATTGGAGAGGGTTCTCTACAAATAAGGAGAACACTGAGTTATAGCCTTATTACAAAACATATTTCTCTTCAAGTGATCATGAAACTGTCACATTAAAATATATGCACAGAAAGCTTCAAAGTGAAATGCATTAAACAAACTTCTCGTCTTAAACTGATAAATTCTCTTAGTGTCATAGCAGGGGAAGAAAAGTAGTTCAATCCTTCAAGACGTTACTTAAGTAGAAAGGTGGCAAGTAATGAGCCAAGTTCATTTTCTTACACAAAAGCTTTCTGCTGATATATCACTAGCCATTTATCCAAGCGGTGGAAAAATTTCTTAAAAAATGTTACACATACTTAGAAGTATCAAGTTGTATGGCATTTTATAGGAATGAGTTTCAGATTAGAGACAACAAATTTTTTGGTTGTTTAAAATCCAAAAGTTATTCGAGTCTCTGCTGAGATTATAGAGGCTCTGATACCAAGAAAAGTAAGAAGAAGAAAACTATATATTGACGACTTCATTAATGACATTACACAATAAGGGCCCCTTGTGTGGGAGTCTTTACTTAAAACAATAAGATATGTACTTATTCTCTACTTGATAAGGTCAACAATTATTCTTTACTAAATGTAAGGTAAATAGTTGTTCTCCTACGATAAAGTAGAGTAAATTCATGTATATCATATATAATATTCTACCATATTCAGTTTATCAAATCAAATGATCCAAGACAAATTGTGCATTGAACATTTTATCATACAACCGCATGAACTATATTTTTATTTTCAACATTTATTCATTTCCCAATTAACTTGGGTTTCAGGCATAGAAGTTGTTGTTCAATTTTTATTTTATTGAGTTTGCTTGTTTTGAGAACATAGTATAAATATCAAAGGAAACCTACTGACACTCAAAATCTTGCTATAAAACTGCTATCAAAATGATGGAAGGGAAGGTTGCATGCCATGCCGCCACCAAAACGGTCGCTGCAAGAGGAGCGATGCTGGTCGGCTAAAAGAGAGAAACAACACTGATCACCAGAGAAGGGAGCGGTGTTGAGAGGAGTGGTGCTCCACGGCAAAAGGAGGAGTGGCACATTGGGAGTATAGGACACCGGCCACAAAAGAGGGGGAAAAGAAGATCAGTGTCAGGAAAAAGAAAGATAAAAAGAACATTGGCAAGCACGTAAATATAATTGAGTCTCTACCAAGATTGTAAAAGTTTTGATACCATGTAAAGAATAGAAGAGAGAAGAAGAAGAGATGAACTGAGGATTTTATTATTGACATTACATATTAGGGTCGTCTTCTTTTATTTTTCGGAGAAAGGTAACAGTATATACATCATTAACAAGATAGTGTTGGCAGCTATATTTACAATTACAGAAGACCTTGTTCATCTTACAAGGAATCTAGAAATTCTACAAAGGTTTCTGCATCATCTACATAATTTTCTTTACAACAAAAATGAGAAGACAAAAAAATAAAAATTCATTTTAGTCTTCTCTATATATACTGGAGATTTTATTTTTGACATTACACATTAGGGTCTTGTTATACAGGAAGCTTCATCTAGTACAATTATAATATAAGTCATTATTATCCTACAATTAAGTAGAGATTGCCCAAGTATATCATATAACATCCTTTTTCTTATTAGGGCAGGAACACTATAACTCCTGTAATATGTACTACACAAAAAAATATATTCTACAATATTCAATCATTCAAATACAATGAATCATTGTATCTACAGAAATTCTAACATAATGCGACATTATTTTTTCTGCATTTCATGTCTTGAAAAACTAATTAATGAGTTTTGGCATGAACTGGACCCAAATAGACGGAACAGATACAGAGAAAACATACAACCAACTACAACTACCTTGGGATTAAGGTGTGGTAGTTTTTTAGTTTTTTTTTTTTTGAGAATGGTAACTTGAAGGTGTAATAGTATTAAGTTGTTAACGTCCTAGAAAAGCAATACAAGTAACTTGATAACCAATATCTAGCCTAATCAACTAAAAAAGGATTAAACTATGATGACAATTGAAATTACTTTACATCTCATAATGAAGTAAAAGGAGCACGAACCTGAATCCGTTCTTGCAAAGAACTTTTCATCTGCTCATTTCTTTTAGCATCAAAGAACAACCGTGATATTAACAAATTCCAACAAAGGGATCCTTCATCACCAATAACCCTGTCATCAGAATCTGCATCAGAAATGACAGACCCAGTAGATGAAGGCACTATAACATCCTCATTGGAAAAATCAAGAGGCTTTCTTGTTGGAGCAACCTTCATGACACTACTAGCCAAGTCAAGGTCTTGGAATGAAGGGCCTTTCTCAATCAACTTTCGTTCTTCATGGCCTAATTTTGAACTGCTACTTGCCTTATTTTCTGGAGCATTCTTGGAAGCTTTCTTGGTTAACTTTTTTAGAAATTGACGAACTTTTGACGAGGAACCATCTGGCTTACTTGATTTATCAACTACTTCAGCACCAAACCTTGAAGATGGTTTCATAAATGAAGGATATGCTGCGTTTAGTGACGTCAGGTAATTCTGGAACTCTACATTTAACTTTGCCAACCACTTTATTTTTTCTTCATCCTCACAGGAAGCAAGACGAAGGGCTTTGCACCATGCTTCCTTCTCCCAAGATGTTTCAAGGTAAATGTAAAATATTCTACTTCCTTTATATACAGCAGATGCTCCACTTTCAACTTTAATTGGGTATCTTTTTGCCCTGTAACAAAATTGAACTGCTAAGCTACAGTTGGTGTTATCATTTCCTATATAAAAATTAAAGAAACATTTATGTGCCAGAAACTTTTTGACAAATTATATAAGATAACTTTCAAAGTAAAAAGTTCCCTTATACTACCTTCTTTAATGAAGTTAAAACCTGTTTGAATTGATTACATCTTGGAATGGTAAGACTGAGCAGCTTGCATTCCAACTTTTCATTCATAGCTACTTGGGCATAATTTTATTATGCATGAAAACATCTGCTTATTGATTTCTCTTATTTTGGACAACTTGATACTTATACCATTAGAAATGGTAGGCCACATTTTGGTCTTATGTTACTTTCCATTGTTTGTCTTGGAATATAATAGCATAAAAGAAAATTACTTGCCATTCAAAAGGAAGTCACCCAAAAGTAAGTGTTTAACCTTTTATTTAGTTATACATTCTCAATAAATTTTTTTGATAGGTAACTACATACACACTTATTGCCTAACTAAATTAATGCCACGCAATGGGGTGCTTCTAGTGTTGGAGGATTTTAAGTCCCAAATTGAGTGTCCTAACTTTTATGGTTATTCACAGGTTCTATTCTGTAAAGAGAAATTTGACTATATACAGCACCCTCTTTTTTTCTGGTGTTTGTAATACTCTAAAAGATATTGAACTACTTTAGAGTAAAGAAAAAGGGGAAGAAACCACAAGCTAAAATACTAGTATGAAATTTATCATATTCAATCAATTATTTGAAGTAACAAAAGGCAACAAATAGACTTACTCATGTTGCCTCTTATAACCTTAAATAGTGAAGATAGTACACATTGTACAAGGTCAAACCAGGATATGAAGGAGTTGTTCACTTTTACAGCAAACAGAAAAAGTAAATCAAATACAGATGGAAATAAGGAAAGGCGCAGGGAATGGAGTTTTAAGAACAGGAACATCGGACCTATGCCCTTGGGCTGTTGAACAGAATTCTTTCAATTATCCCATCTCCCACTAGAAAAGAAAGTAGTATTCAAACTCCCCGGGGTGTCTGTGGAGTAAAAAGACTGAGTTCTAGCTATGTCTCTTGCCTGTCCGGAGTGGAGACAATCTAGCAAGCACTATGCCCATTATATATCTTTTAGCTTCAAGCTGAGATTTGTAAATAGAACAAACATCAATTTTTGGGTAAGCAAAAAATAAGAAGGCATGTGATAGGCATTTTACCAGTCTATATTAGGATAAGTTTAAAGTCAATATGTCCAGATGGTCAACCAACTATATAAAACAAAGCTAAATACATGGTGCACAATACAATCTGACATGCATCTTCATTCTAAGCAAAACTTGTCAGCAGAAAGCATTTGCAAGGAAAAATTCTATTACATAAAGAAGATATATCTCTAGGTAGCATGAATTTACCAATCAATTTTTTATTTCTAGAATATAAAGGTAACTAGGTATCTGTCTTCTGGTGCATATTCTTTTATTGGGATTTGCCTTCATGTAGCTTCTAAAAGCTCAGAGAATCATATTCTATGCTTTACACACTGCGGATCAGGAAGAAATACTTTTTGCTAAAATCAAATCAGCTTCTCACAACCAGATGAATTCAAGCTAAGAAGAGGTATAAAGCAGTCAAGTTCTCTTTGTACCCACTCGAGTTTTCCTGCTGCAGAGCCCGGAGACACAAAATTAGGATTTGCTTATAACTAGAACAGAGCCAAGAAGGTTCTTTTTAGATCTTATGCCTCCACAACACAAATAATCTACCATGTCCATAAAATTGCTAGAACAGGATGGATTACTCTTCGATATTTCCAACTTTTATGTTTGACATAAGTAGCTCAAGTACCATATTTAACCAGTGAAAGATGCAGGAAGAGTTTTAACTCAGACGCACTTCAAAAAGTAAAGTCAAATCAGGTACTAACTTACCATTTTCTTGTGGACAAGCTTGAAGCAGAAACAGCTGCAACCATGCAACCTTTGAGTGGAATTTCAGTATGGGAACCATCCGATTCTATTAGGATGAGAGAGTTTTTTTTTATTTTTCCAAATTTCTGAGAAGGTATTACCTCTAAGATCTCTTTCTGGGCTTTGTGCTGCTTTGTAGCTTTGTCCGTGTTTAAAGCTTTCAGGATTCTTTCAGATTCTAGAACCCATACTATTCCCTGGGAACAAACACACATACTATACTATAAGTTATACTGATCAAGCCCACTGAGGAAAAAAGGCACAGTGCTTGAATAGAAAAGAAAACTTCAGTTAAATTATACAATACTAATGAAAATAGCACCACAGATGTTTCAAAAAAAATATTAGTACAATAACATAAATTCCATTCCCAGATAATTGCAGATCAAAAAATTATCTTCTCACACACCATGTAACACATTCATTTAAAGAGATGATTCATTCACTGTTTTCTAGTAGCACAAGAGACAGAGAGGTGGTTAGTCGATGATTAGAGCACTGCTCTCTAGCTGGAATCTGTTAAATTGTCAGAAGGTGATAACATGAAATGGGAACTTTTTCTGGTCCATTTACTCTTATAATAACATTTACATTGTCTTCAAGAACCACTTTTCCTCTCTCTGTTTCTTTATATATATATAAGGGAAAGATGACAGACTGCTGCTAATAATCATTGAAGTGTATAAACATCACATTCATTTGTAAAAATCTTCTCACCAAGAAATACCAAAACACTGCAACCTTGGGCATTCTTAGAGCCTCCTGCTGTGCATGGAATGGTCTATACTAGATTATACTTGGAATACTCTGAGGTATTAGACTATTAGTTCTACAACATTGGGATGGTTTCCACCATAATGTCTGGAAATGAAACTTTTCAAAATAATTTGTGTGCAAAAAGTGCAGTGTGAGTTTTGAAAGTTAGGAAGTCATCTTTGCTAGAGAGCGTTTTATCCCCGATGTGGGAGGCTTCTTACACTTGTCAAAAATGTTGAATAGTCCCAAAGGTTACCAACAAAGTGACTTGTGTCAAATCTTCAGACTTGCAGCAAGACACATGTCACATCCCTATTGAGTGAGTCTTTTCTCGTACGCCTATACTACCTGATTATGACTTCTTCATTTTAAAATCAGAAAAAGAGTTATCCCAACCATCAGTCCATCATACCTACCTCTTTCCGACTAGCTGGTTTTATTATTGAAATTTTGTTGTTCCTGCATCCTCCCGTGGAGTTAGGCTTGTTTAATCTTAGATAGTTTCTTAGGACAGTGCCTAGCATGACTCAAGCCACTTTGTATATTTGCTCATAAATAGTACTCCCTTCGTCCTAATTTATGTGGCACCGTCTAACTTGACACAAAGAAACTGACTGACTTCTCAGGTTAGTCCGGGTCAGCCTAATTCTACAATACTCTTTTTGATGAAATCCTTTAGACGATTAACTACTCAATTCACAACCTCAATACGCAATTCAGACAATAATACAAACACAATGTGTGCAAAAACAAGGCACCAATAAAATTGTGTAGGCAAAAAATCACACACATAATAAATTAAACATTAGGGCAAACAATAAGCAAGAAAAATGGGTACCTGCCTGCTTGTTGTAGAAAGATGGATCAATATCCCCAGCAAAACACAAAGACCCTTCAGGTGGTTTCCCTTTATCAACCCTTCTCATAAGCCACCATATAAAAATAACAATTCCTAAAGCTTCCACTGCAAGAACAAATATCCCACCAAGAACAAACACTGTTAACATGATCATCATCATCTTTTTTTCTCCCCCGAGAAGAAGAAAATTTAAGAGAAATCTCGAATTCTATAGGGGGGAGAAAAAAGGTTATTGGATACAAGGATTCCTGTCATGCATGGCAACAGAGAAATTGGCGCTAAAGGTTTGCTGTAATTAGAAGCAACCATTAAAACATATTTTGGGCGAAAGTTACGCATTATTTTTATTCTTACGTTGAAATTTGAGATACAAAATTAAAACTATTAACTCTATGATAGATCCGTCAACCTTGGACTTGCACGAGAAACGGAGTTGAGGTCCATACTAATTTATTTTACTATACATAAAATTGAAAATTAGCTGACGGAGCAAACGCTTGGAGTTGGAATTGCGTTGATTCATTTTGTACCATTATATCAATGTGTTGTATATGTTGCTTTGATACAAAATGAACATATATTAAATATTGGTGTACATCTATTTTATTATTAAAATAAAATATTAAGTGCATATGTTTGTGGATTGACAAGAATGCGGTCATTATTCTAGTTGTAACTTATAGGTTATTTCACTTACCCTAGTAACTATCTCATCATCTTCTATTCATTGCAAGGAATATTTTTCTCTTTATAAATAGTGATGGTCTTGCTTTGTATTGAGTAGAACAAGATATATAGGAAAGATGAGAAGTGTGAATAATATTAGGTGTATAGTAGTGAAAGAGAGACTTGAAAAAATATATTTTAAGGGCCCGTTTGGTCATGCGATATGAAATCATGATATGGTATCATAATATAGAATCATGAGATGAAATTGAATTTTTGTTTGGACATGCGATATGAAATTTTTGTGTTGTATATTTTCTTTTAAATATAAGAATCTCATAAGTTGTAAAACTATTAAACCAGTCCCAATTGTTTATTCAATCTTACCAAATAAACAAAAAATTATAAAATCGCATAATAAATTATTACAAAGTTATTTGTTTCCCACTTAAGTAACTGTTTCATCAAACTTTAATTCAATAAAAAAATTGAACATAAATTGTAGTGAACTAGTCTTTAATATAATCTTCCCACATAATACGGACAATCTCCTCACGTTGAACTTGCATTTCTCGATCATGTGACCGAGAAGACGAACTAACATTGTTACTTTGAACCATTTGTTGGTCAATATCATCCGCAACTATATTTTCATGTTCATAGACAATAAATGTTTCATCACTCCTTTGGTATTCTCGCAAATAATCATGCAACACTGCACAAGCTATGACAATTTTCACTTGTGTGTCAATATCATAATGGTTCATGCCTTGTTTTAGTATTCTGAATCTATTTTTCCAAGCTCCAAAAGTCCGTGGGATTGTTTTAACAAAATATAAACTTGTGGATCAATTTTTGTATTTAAAAAATCTCATATCATGATATGGAATTCCCATATCATGATTTTTGGAGAATATGAAATTTCATCTCATGACATGGAATCATGAGATGGAATCAGCGTGAATCGCATGTCCAAACACGAATTACATCTCACGATATGATATCGCATGGCCAACCGCCTACTAAATCTTCAACTATATTCACTATATAAAAGAGAGTAATTATATGTTGAAGGAAGGTGTTCTTTAACTGAAACTTTGAACTCTTCAACTAATTCAGAGTTCGCTTGAGTTGTACAAGGTTGTTGGGATGTTGTATCCTGAAGGAGACAAGTCAAGAGTGATACTGCTAGATTAGTGTAAATTATACCGCAGTGGACTTGAATCTCCTTAAAGAGAGTGAGATATATGCCCCTCAACTAAATTTCTTTTAATTCATTTTTGTTTATTTTATTTTCAATTGTAATTTATTACACTTATGATATATTACACCAACATTAAACATACAGAACTAACTGATACGTTGATATAGAGCGAATTGATACATTGAACTATTGCTACATTTGGTAATCAGTCAATTTATCATTATTAATAATAATTAGGATTCAAAGTATGGTTGTTTCAAAAAATTTCTCAAAGAAACAATAATTTAATTTCATAGTACATATTATTTTGCTAAACCTACTCCTTTCATTTCAAAATAAATGTGTCTTTAAGTTGGATACACCTTTAGCTTTGTTCATTTTCATTTTATTAACTGTAATGTTTTTGGTTGTCTTGTACTCTCTCCGTCTTAATTTATATGAGTTATTTTAATTTGGTACGGAGTTTAAGAAAGAAAGAAAAGATTTTTGAAATTTATAGTCTAAAATGAGTCATTGATAGTTGTGAAGCTAGAAATCATTTCATTAATGATAAAATAGACACTTAGTTAAATTATTACTAAGTATAAAAATGTGTCATACTTTTTGAGACCGACTAAAAAGTAAGTAAATTGTATAAATTGGGACAAATGGATTAGTATTTGTAAGCAAGTCTGTGTACTTTCTTTGTGGATAAGGTTTTGAGTATTGACAAAGATACATGGTGATGGTATTGAACATATCCCCTTTACTTACTATTGACGAACAATTGAACTATTTATTTTTATAAAGTAAATGTATTTTTACTAACTTACTCTTCATAAATACTTTGAAAAATATATAGTTTTTAAATATTTTTTTGATTACGTAAAATTTTCTTTATTTAAGCAGCACAATATAAAATTGGAACATCAAGCGAAAATCGCTTACTATTTGAAACAAAATAAAAAGATTTTTTAAAAAAACACTTGTTTTGAAATTATGAAGTAATTAATTTGCTGGTTGTTTGATATTTTTTTTTTGCTATTTTGGTCCCCCAAATCATCTTATTATTTCTTATTTCTTCTCTATGTTTTCCATTTGCTTATTTAGTCTCACAAGTCTACAATTTATCTCATGTCTCCATTGATTTGACATTTTTTGTTTTGAAATACTATTCTTTTAAATTCATATATAACTTTTTGTTATAAAAGGATCTTTTGGTATTTTCATTTTCAATCCAATCGTTTTCTTTCTCATTGGAAATTGGCCTCGTGTACATTCCAGCTTGAAAAAAACTTCACAAGAGATCTCATTCAACAAAGAAATAGAAAGTCTAGCTAAACTATTAGCTATTTAGTTCAAACATCTAGAAATATATATAAAACTCGACATGATCAAACATGTTCAAGAGCATCCAAATATCTTCACACGTCATTTCTATGTTTCACGATACAACCACTTATTTCTGGATCATATCGACAACATTCTTAGCATCAGAAAAAAAATTTACATTCTTCCATCCATTACTAATAGCATATTCAAGAGTCTTCCTAATAAGCAATCATTTTAGCAGTCATGACTTTTCCGACGTAATTGCATTGTTTACGAATATAGGATTGCAGACTAATGATCGTAGACCAATACAATTCAATTGTTCATTAACTTCATTATTTTCATTCTAAATTTCAACTGTATTATTTAATTTAGATGGTCCAAAATGTGGACCAAAGATAGGGATATAACTACACTTATAATATGAATATGGGGGACCAAACTAGAGATGTACTAATTGGATAGTACTTTCCAGCTTCCACCAATCTTTAAGTTTAAGTCTGGCTGGCCCAATTATAGTATCTGATTATGGCCTTAACCCAACCTAATCAGAAAGCCCATTCATTTTGCTAACTACTTCTTCAATCATTTTGCACAAAAAGAATACTTTGGTGATATTATTCAAAATTTGTTCGGATCCTATATTTGTATGGTCTTTAATTTTTACTCTTGCTTTTCATTTAATGAAAATTTATGGATCAAAGAGCTCTAATCTATGACCTAATTTCGCAAGACAAACTTTCGTCTTGTCCGTGTATAGTATCTCATTCACAACTCGTAAGGCCAATATTTAGGAAACATTTGCCTTGTCCGACAAAGGTTTAGAGAAGTTAGTCTCTATCAACACAAGTTTGTATGAATATATGTCTGGTAAGACATAACTTGTGTCTTGTGAATTCTTCTGCCAATATTTTGGAGAACATTTGACTTATTTGACAAAGGATTAGAGAAGTTAACTTCACTTCTATCAATATAAGTTTGTATGAGTAAGTTATGCCTTGCCAGGCATAGATCTTAGCCTTTACTAGCATAGGTTTGTATGAATCAGTTATGCACATACTTGTGTCTTCCGAATTTTGACTTGCGTGAATTTCTTATAAAATATTATAGAATCGTTGTCTTTTCCAATAAAAGTTTAGAGAACTCGTGTTTATAAAATTAAAAAAAAAGTGTCTTATAAGAATGACTGTTGTCTTGCAAATTTTGTTTGTCTTGCATATATTTTTTTTCAATATCAAGGATATTTCGACCACGTTTTTGTTAAGTCGTGAGCTTTTGACCATGTAAAGAAAAAAATTATTCACTTTGTTAAAAAAATTTAAGTTGAAATTAAAATTGTATTTGGTCATACTTTTTTTAAGAATATTTAGAATTTAAATTCTAAATTTAGTCCAATACTATGAATATCATTTTCTATATTCACAATAAGACTAATTACTAGACTAAATTTCCCTTATATTTATTTTGATCTCTCAAATTCTTATATCTTAATAGAATATTTATTAGAGTACAAATAGTATAATCGAAAAAGATAATCAAGTCTTTTTTTATTTTTGAAAACGATTAGTATTTAAAAATAATTATTTTAACTAATATTGACAAGTAACTAGAAAAATGAGGATTGAGAATTTGGCATACATGTTTTACATGCACATGGCACCATCTCATTTATGTTCTCCTAATCACGAAAATTAGATATTTATTATTGTTGTCATTATCGATTTACATAATTTAACTTCGTAAAATATTTTTATATCGTTTAGTAAATAAACTTACTCAAACTAAAATATCTTGATGTACTAGAAAGGGTGTCCCATTAATAACTTCCATTTCACCAATATTGTAGACACAAATTTGGTTAAAAGTACCTTTCCATGTTCACTCAAATTCCATAATAGTGGTAGCAAAATTGAGCTAAAATATAATGAAAGTTATTGCCTTCAATTTAATGAAAGTTGTTAGGTTTATTTACTATTCTTTTAGTGCCCCCTACTTATCATTTTTTCCTTCTAGAGTGCACACGTTGGCACCCATCAACTATTAATAAAGGCTCTATTCAACCAACCCAAGTACAAAAAAATTGAACTCTAAACCAAATGTGATATACTTACGAAATAAAGTTACTCGGATG